TTTTATATCCTTGTTTTACAAAGGGAAAATTCTGCATACATAGGGTACAAGCATTGTACAGACAAAGGGCGAGCTAAACTGTCTCTCCATGTTAGTTTTCTACCTTTATCTAAAGGGACAAAGAGGAACTATTCTACCATTTTTGCTCTGCAAGCAAACAGATCAATGTTCACCATCTTATAGCAGAGAAACTGATCCAGAAGTATTAAGAGACTACCTAAAATAGCAGAAGAAAGAGCCATGCTGCACTGGAAGCTTTAAGCATTACTACAGGCTCCTAGAGTGCAGGAAAAGTAGCACTTGCTTATTTCTTTGAGATGGTCTGGCTGCAAAATATCTTTTTGCATTGACATTTGTACAAATTGTTCTTGTTCTGGCACTGGCAGCCTTGTAATTACCCCATCAAAAGTTGCTTACTTCTGTCTGCCTTGTTTATGAGATGAGAAATAAAAAAACTGTCATTTTTTAAAGTCTCTTTGAAAGGCAGGCAAGAAATTGAAGGATGTTCTAGTGATCTCTCTCTCTCTCTCTCTCTCTCTCTCTGTGTGTGTGTGTGTGTGTGTGTGAGAGAGAGAGAGAGAGAGAGAGAGAGAGAGAGAGAGAGAGAGAGAGAGCGAGCACACACAGAAAAGGAGAATGGCAAGGACAGGATTTGTCATAGGCTGAGGAGTCAAATTCCCATGTAGCTGAGCATGCAATACCTTTAATTCCTGTAGAGTATGGAAGCATCTCTCACCAGCTGGGTTTCCTGCTGCTCCTTTCAAACAATCTGTTTGCAAAACAGCACTTTAATTCCAGTACACAGTTAGCAAACTATTGCCACGGAAAGAAGAGTTTTTGTGCATGAACAGAGTGATTTGTTGAAGACAGCTAGAAATGACTTCCGTGAACCCTTCTTTGCAGTAACCCTGAGCTTCACCCCTCCGGGTGTGCCCCTCTGAAGAAGGGCTAGCCCCCTAGATCTATGCAGGCCCCCTAGATGGCCAGCCCTTCTCTCCCGACTAAGAGTACTGGACCAGGTTCCTCTCACTCCTCTCCCATGTCCCCTCCCCACACTTCCAAACCCTGCTGGCCCCAGGGTCTCCCTTGAGGCCGAGTCGCTGAGATAATTTCACCCTCTTTCCTCATCTCCATGTCCACGCCCCTCATTCCCCCCCCCCCCAGCCCTTGTGGAAAGAGTTGGTGCCCCCCTGGGCATGGAAAGTGCCCCAAGAAAAAACGCTGCTTTCATTCCCCACAGCATCCTGCAATTCCACACAAGCAGGCACAGAATGCAAATTGCATTCAGAATTCAGCATCATCTTTCAATATTTTAAGTTTCTAGTCCTCTCCATCTCTGGCTTTCATGCCATGAAAATGGGATAGAAAGCAACTGGCCAAGTCTCCATTTTTTAAAAAAATTGTATTTATATTCCCAATTTTCCATGTAAGAAACCTAGAATGACTTACTTAATCCTTCTCCTCTCCATTTCATCTTTACAACAGGTTTGTGAGTCCAACCGGTTGACTGACCCAACGTCAACCAGTGAGCTTCATGATCCGGCTCCCAGTCCCACGCTCTAACCACTAGGCCACATTGGCTCAGAAGTCAGAGGGACCTGATAAAGATTCCCAAGGGGCTGCCACCAGGATTCCAGGGCATCTATAATTCCTTCCTCGTCTACACAATTGGCACCGTCAGAATACTGTAATAGCCACAGACTTGCATAATTCTACGCACAAAGTTCAGCTTCCTTGTTAGTGTTGTTGAGTTCTTCAGAGGATGTGATGACCTGCAGAGCAAAGCCCATGGGGGTGAGTAAAAATAGGCCCCAGACATTCCACAATTGCCCACTGCATCCTACTCCATGGAGACCTGGGAAACAAATACTAACAAGGAAGTTAAAGTACTGCTCAGATGGCCGCGGGATAAGGAGACCATTCCTGCCAAAAATGGCTCCATTAGACATCTGGAAACAAACCGGTTTGTCTGAAACCATCTGAGAGGTTTAGGCGTGTTTTATATCTTGGAAAGCTTGATGGATGATTTGCAGCTGTAAAGTCACAGCTGCTCGAGGCTAGAGAGACAAGAAACCGAACAGGAGCTCTCGGGCTGAAGAGGCATCGTCGAGGGAAACAGCCTGTTTGTTTATTGCGTTGTTTTATGAACTGGGACAAGAGGCTGTTGACAGGAGCCGCAATATGGAAGAGAAACATTTGTGCTGCTCTGCGGGGCAACAGAAGGGAATCTCCAGGCCTTTTGAGGTCATTTGCCATGGCGAGAACTTTAACTCTCCCCGTGGCTGCTGCACTTTCCCCTCATTGACTTAGGCATGTCTCGGAAGAGATGGCAGTCACTAGGTCTGGGCTTTAGATGGCAGGCAGAGCCTCGCCAAGCAGAATTCTCCATCCGAAACCCAGACAACCTCCCTGCACACTGAAAACTACCTTCATTCCACTCCTCCCGCCTTTTGCCCCACCTCCCAATGGAGCGTCTTTGGCCCTAGTAAACCTCAGACATCCAACACCCCCTTGGATACTCACCGGGGCTCACCAGCAGGTCATCTGGCTCCGCCTCTGGACCTCTGGGTCTGGTGCCAAGATGGACGGTGGAGCAAATGCAGGGAAGGCACCGATGGCCAAAAGGCCTGGAGAAGTTTGCCAAAGGACAAGATCTGCACAGCTGCACTGGCCAAGGGACTTTTACTGATCTCCTTTCTGGTCCACCCATCCAGCATTGGTTTCCAGTCTGGCAGCATCAGAATGGCAGATGCCTGGCCTCCGTCTGGCTCATCATCTTCATCCACTTGGGCAGGTTTCTGAATTTAAAGCGTTTTAAAATTGGGGGAAATCCAAAGCCACTTTTCTAACTTTGAGAATGCCTCCACTTAGCAAAATACATAAAATATTGGAGAAAAGGAGGGTGTCATTCTGGCGGATTGTGGAGAGGCCCTTAATAAAAGAAAGTTATTTTCTTTTAAAATGGCTTTGGGTGTTGTGTTGCTACCCTTGCCCTGTAAGGTGCATGGAAATGGCAGAATCACTCAAGGAAAGAACAGTTTCAGGGGAAATTACTCCAAGACTGGCCAACAAGATTAATGCAATCTCTTATCCTACTAGCTGCCATGTAGCTGGAAACCCTGGGAGTAAAAAAAAAACTGCATGGAACATATGAGCAAGATCCAGACTTTCAGCAATCCTGGCGAAAAGAATGGAAAATGGAGTGCTTTTCTAATATATCCTCATAATGCCATTCGGGGGGGGGGGGGGTTTGGCAAGCTCCTTGGACCTAGGGAGCAACTTCATCTTGGAAACAAATGCAATGCCTGTGGAACACACTTGAAATGGGCTTGAGAAACAAGGCGGACATGTAGCACTTGGTGGTGTTTGTACAGATCCCCTATGTATTTGTAGAACTGGTATCGTCTGAAGGAACTAGTTTCGGTCCTTGGATGCATGCTTTACTCCTCACAGCAATTTCCACTGAATGGATGATGACTCTGCTGCTCCCAAGTGGGAATAGCTGAACCAGGCAGCTTTGGCAACAGGATGTGTACACATACACAGGAGCTGTTGAAGTACATGGGGTCACAATGTTCCTGCCACTGATGGTTACGTCCTGTGAGAAATACCTGTAGAATTCCCACTGTGTAGGTTGCTTGATCTGAGGGACATGGTATGTCTTAAAGCCCCCAAAGATAGAATTAGTCCCTAAATTCTAGAAGGCCGAGAATACTACCCTGCTTGTCTTTAAAGCCAGGTAGCTGAGCACTTTCCTTGCCTGGGCCAAGAGCTGTGTAGAAGAGTCCTTGCAGAGATCAGAAGAGGAGGAGAGGCAGCTGTTATGGATGGAAGGAAAACTTTCATGTGGAGTTAAGCCTGTGCAATCTGACACATCTGGAGGGCACCAGGTTGGAGAAAGCACTCAAAAGGTTGGCTATTTGGGAAAGGAGGGGCTGGGAGCAGGAATTTCCCTTGTATGCACCTTCGGTACATCCCAGAGGCACTGAAGCAAAAGCAGACTAAAACAACCACACTGCTGCTGAAAACGTTTCTTAACTTTAAGAAGCTGGGAGATCAAGAGGGCCCAGGGACCATTTGAGAGCAAGGGTGGGCAACTTTTGGGCCTCCAGATGTTTTGGCCTACAACTTCCACCATCCTGTGCTGTTAGCTAGGCTGGCTAGTCCATAGCCCTTTTCACTTAATTCCAGTGTTTTTTGCTGGATGATCTCATAACACTTTTGATGTCGTAAGTCTCCTTGTCCATTTTAATCAGAAGAGAGATTGTTTTAATAAAGACTCCTTCTCGTTACTGGAAAATAAAAAGGTGTTTAAAATCTTTTTGAACATCTACTGCTGTGTGTTAACTAAGTAATTCTGAGACTGGATGCAACAAATGGAGAAAATATGCATGTTGTTAGTAGAATAAAATCTTACAGTAATGTTTTAGATCTGCTCCGAAGCTTTTCCAGTTTCAAAGATCAACAATGAACATAAAGGAGCTAGCAAGAGTTTTCCAGACTGTGGAAGAGAAAAAAGCATTCTGTGCTTGAGAACAGAGACAAATCAGGCCTGTATTTTTTCCCTTTTACTGACATTTCCTGACTGCTATAGAAGTGCAGGATATATTCAGTCCTGAATAAAGGAGATTATATCTTACGCCTAATTTGCCACAGGGGGCAGGATGGTTCAGCCCATCATTAAGCGGCTGTGAATCAAACTGCAGATCCATCTAACCAAGTTATTGTGACTGGCAGAGGTATCTCTAGCCGTGCTATCCAAGACCTTTCTAGATGGAGATGCAGGGAACCAAACGTGGGGTCTCCTATAGGTCAACTCTGCATGGCACCTTTGAGCTGCATCCCTGCAGATGTTAAATAAAGCATCACCTCTGGAAGGAAACAGCCAATCAAAGTTCAGCTGTCGGTCCGAGGGAGATTAGACAGCCAACAAAGTCTTCCCCATGCAAGAGCTGGTGCTGCCACATGCAACTTAAAAAACACCACAATCAGACAGCTGGTTCCTTTAAGCTTATTTACTGATATTTGGATGCTTTAATTTTCTATTTCCCAGATTCCAAAACAAAAACAAAACCCCAACAAAATGCTTTTTTTCCCCCAAAATGACCAATAATTTGTTCCAAAAACATACAACCTTATCAACTAATTAATAAGAGCTATTTTACAAACATACATACATCTGGATAATTAGAACAATAAATTCTTTTTTTTCTTAGACATTCAAAACATGATCAGTTAAAAATACAAGATAATTAATATGAAGGCATTTTTGCCTTTTGCTTTTCAAATAATATTTCTGGATTGATCTTTTTTGTTTTCCTTAAAAGTAAAATCTGTTAAAAGGAGTAAATGATTGTATGGTGAGCATATAAAATGCATTTCTAATAGTTAGAGAGCTTTAAACAATTCAGTTTTTTTTAAAGAAGAGCAAATAGTTTTCTGGCTGCAGTATCCCTTAACAACTGTTTATCACAGCTGGCATGTAGGGGAGGGGCAGAAGGGGTAGCAAAGGATCTCTTTGGAATGAGGCAGAGAGGGGTCAAATTCAAGCAAAAACTATGGCTGCCAAGCTGCATTCCATCACAGACATCTTCCACTGAAAAGAATAACTTTCCAAAATGTTGGAACTTTTACTCCTATGGAAACAGGACAGAGTGGAAAATGCAGAGGACCTCCAAGCTCAAGTTGCTCTTCTCAAACTTTGGCTGTTGGTCCCCTTTCCTTACGACAGCCTTCCCCAGCCTAGCACCCTATGGGTGTGTTGGACTACATTTCCCATCATCTCAGCCAGTGCGACTGGTTCCTTACCCAACACATCTGGAAGGTACTTTGTCGGAGAAGGCTGTCCTGGGAGCTACCAGTGCTTTCCCTGGAAACTGAACAAACCAATCCAGGACACCCGACATCTGCAAGAGACCTGGAATCTATGTGGACCCTGAACCCTCACCGCCCCCAGCCACCCCATTTCCCGCCAGTCCAAATGATGAACTGGAAAGGGAAAATTAGCAGTAGGTGGCACAATCAGAGCAGGCCACTGGCCCCACATGGTCACGCAAAAAACTATGTTCAGAAAACCTACCGACTGTTCTCCACCAGTCCCCTGACTACTGTGTTTCAAAGGTGAGGTATGATCAAGCATGCAGCAGAACAACATGGGGCTGATGTGGCAGAGACCTGCAACGGCGGGATGGCCTGTACCCTTACAGGTGAACTGCAAGGCGGGGTGCGGGTCGCCTTTTTCAACGTCCCTGTGTAAAACGCAAAGCCGCATTTGCACAAGCGCAAAACTAGCTCGGTAAGGTGCAGGCACAGGAAAGCCTTGGGGGAAAACGCATTCCAAAACAGGATCCCTCATGCCCACCCCTACCTGCCATCTGCCAGGCCCTGAGATATGGCTGTTTGGGATTGACTGAGGCGGGGAGAAAAGTTCACTAGTAGAAACCAGAGCAAATGAGGCATCTGCAGGTAAAGCAATGGCAGTGCAAACGGAGAAAGGGAGCTTTGGCCCTCGTGTTCTCATGAAACAATGAAGTCCCCTCGTTAGAAAATCCCAACATTGGTCTAAAATTTCTTTACTTGTAGTCTCAGACAACCCTGAGACAAAACCCAGTGAAAAGCCTTCTGTCTCCCTCACCTTGTTCCACCTCAAAGGTAAGCCCGAAGGACATACAGATGGGCTGCAGTGGAAACGGCCATCTGGGTGTGCATCTTTTCCTTTGAACCACCCTTGGCACTCATCCAGATTAAAAACAAGCTCAATAGTTGTTGGAGCAAAATCATCCTGTCAAAATCATATTCTCCTGTCAATAAAGTTTTTCATTACCTATATTTTCAGCTGGGGAGGGGAGAGGGGAAACTGCTCCACCCTACCGTCCAGTCCAAAGAAGGGAATGTTCTTAACCAGCAGTGAAGGACAGGAAAGGTCTCTTTGGCTGGAATTCTTCATGGCTATCCTAGTACATAAAAAAGGGGAACCCCACAAAGTGCATTTTAGTGTTGACCCTCTTCACAAAAATGGGATCTGTGCCAGGGGCCTGTTGTACAGTAGATGCGCTAAGGAGTTAAGACATCCCCAGAGATTTTCGGCTACGATGTTCGGAGCACCCCAGGATCCCCATTCCTCTCCACTTTCTCTTTCTTATAGCAGAATAATGCCCTTTACAGGAGATTGCATAATATATGTCACAGACAAGCCTGAAACACACACACACCCAAAAAAAAAAAAAAAAAAAAGAGGACATAGACAAAACCAAACCTAATCCACCAACAGCACAAAAGCACAGCACTTGTTTCACTTCCCAGGAGGGAAAAAAGGTGGTTTTGTCCATGGAGGGGGACTAAAAAGCCTCCTGACATTTTGCTGCTCTTCATTTCCAGGATGATCCTCACAAAGGCTGTTAGTAATCTGACCCCAGGCACAGCTGAAGGAGCTGAAGCCAGTCCTCCCTCTGTGCCCTCGCTATGCTGTAGAGATATTTATGCTGGAGGTACTAGCTCACAGGAGGATCTTGGGACTCTTACGCCCAAAAGTAGCAAAGCAGCTGGCGAACAGTAAAGGAAACACAGACTCTCAGCCGCGCAAAAGTTATTTATGCTAGGGAGAAAGATAAGATGTGGAGACAGTTTCTGATAGCTCTGGACAGGCATACCTAGGGCTGTGGCAAAGGTAAACATCCAGCAGCATGACATCACAAGCTGATGTCAGAAAAATGACACCAAAAGCAAGGATGCTAAAGCCCAAGGATTATCTTACTACCTCAAGGGTATAGTCTGTTCCAGTGCCAAGAGATTGCAAGATAAGTTTCATGTGGAAAGCAACTTGCATTTTGAAGTTCTTCACTCAAATTGGTGTATTAATGCAAACTGGCAGGACTTGCTATGCTGAATTTCACACTGGTCATGGGAATTTTGTGTGGGCAAATATCGAAGGAGATCCTTTGGCTTTCAGGAACTTCCTGCTGCTGAAAAAAAGTGGAAGCCTACACATCTGGCTTTTGGAAAATCCCTTTCTTTCAATTGCAACATGCATTCGTTCATGGATTTGAAATGTTGGGATGTAAGGATAAAAAGTAATCCTAGTTTAGCCTATCCATTCCAGTACTGTTTTATTTTTTGTGAGGGCAAGAGAACTTTCTGTTTCGCATGACTGAAAAAGAACCATCTTATTCTTGGCCATTACAGCTATGGGGAAAATGTTTCTGTGTTGATGGAGCTGGTGCCGTGACCTTCACACTGGAAGGAGGAAAACAAGAGAAAGGTTCTCTGCTCTGTGCAGCACATACAACAAAACAATAATTAAAAACACACACATTATGGGGATTTCTAGGGTTTGGCACTTTTAGATATGGCTGGTCAAAACCGAAAGCAAGACAGGCAGCCCAAGGTTTGGGTGCTTAGTGCAGAAAAAGGTATCAGGAGTGTCCAACTTCCCCTTGCAATGAGCAAAGGAGGAACGGTCGGTCTCATGGAGGTTCCACATGCCCTCAAAGCAGGTCTGGCTGCCAGCCTGGAGCATCCAGTGTATTTGCCTCTCTGCTGTTAGGCTCCCATTTCCACTCTCAGGACAGGAGCCAGTTTCGAAACAGGGGGTGTCAGAATTTATTTAGGGAAATACTGCAGAACCTGCTCCCAGCTATTCCTTGTTCCCTCCCTTGGAGGTCTCTGAGCTGGCCATGTGGTTTCAGAGCCCTTTGGCACAAGCAATGCAAAATCTTGCCCCCAAACCAAAGCTTACTCCTCCTCCTCTTCCTCACGTACCCACACACTGGCCAGCAAGGTACACCTTTAGCTGCTGAAGGTGTCTGGCTATTTATGTGCAAGTTGCCATGGCTAACTATCCCAGGTACTTAGCAGACACTCTGTGGATCTGAAATATTCCTCACCTGACTGCCTGGATCTGGAAAATGGTTTCTCCTCCCACTTCCCCAAAGAGACACACACGAGAAGTTGCTTCTTTTAGAGGGGAGCCCAAAGGATAAAGCTCAAAGGAGAGCCGAAACACCCCTGCCCTTTTCCTCTTTCTGTCTAATGCCCACGTGTCAGTGAAAGAGATCCCTAGTTTGCAAACCAAGACACCTCTTGGCTGCTGCATGAGAGGGGAGACCTGTCCACATGCAGTGGGATGGCATTCTGTTTCATGGGTAGCCCCTTCCGGAGGTGAAGTAGTTGCCTGCAGAATCCGACCCACTGAAAATGAAAGCCATGCGTGAGCTGGCTCGCACTTTAGCCCTGAACAAGGGTTCGGGATCAGAGAAAGGCTGGGGCCCACGAACTGGCACTATCTTTTCTTTTTTTAAGCAAAATAAAATACAAATTAAAGTGTGCTTTCAGTACACGGAATGAAGTCAAATAAATACATTGATTTTTTTATGTCTAAATACATTTTTATATCCTACACCCAAGGCTTTATACATTTGGTTTCTTCTTTATGTTCCTCTTTTTCCTCGGTTTGGAATCAAAAAGAATTTCTGGTACAAAGAGGAGGCAAACAAAATCGCCACCTCTCCCTGACAGACTAGTGCAGAGGCCGACAAGGAAACTGCCCACCGTCTGCTCTGCTGGTCCGTGGAAGGAGGCCCTTGTGCAGCAAAAGTCCAGACAGAAGCCAGCAGCTGCTGCTCGGCGACTGGTGTGTCCATCCAGTCTTCAGCCACTTACAGGAAATGCGACTAACTTTTATCTAAGGATAAAAAGAAAGAGACATAATAAACAGTCCTCTGTAAGTTGCTATGGACCACAGACGCTACACATAAGGCTTCAGAGATGCTGCACAGTCGAATGGCATTTTGGGACACACGCCAATCAAGTTGCAGCCGTGTATCTGTACATGCCTCTGGTGAAAATATCCAGTCAAGTTAATTTTAAGTGTCAGCCCCTGCATCGCCAAAAGCTAAGCATGGGAACAGAAAGCAAGGTTGCTTGCCTGCAACGGATGTTCTTGGAATCTGTGCATTCACACATACGGGGTCTGCACCTGCGTGTAGGGCCTGTTGTTGGGACGACTGTCCTGGCACAAGTGCCAAGTCCATGTGTGCGATTCACAGAGACCTCAAAGAGCAACTTCCCAACAGCTCTCAGCTGGCCTTCTGCCAGCTCACTGGAAGCCTCAGTCCATGTAGAGGGATGCCAGCTTGCATTACCAAGGGGGAGTGCTGAGCAAAGGGGTGTGCCTGCTATGCCACACAATTCATTCAGGGGAAGGAACACGATGTCCACAGACTTAAGCACTGATTTACAATGCTTTGCAGCCAGCTGCTTCTTTCGAAAACCTGGAGCTGTAATGAAAGCTCTGGAGACCTTCCCAGGAAAGAGTAGCAACCGGCTTCCCTTGGAGTCGGGGCTCGGAGATTATTACCATGGCACATGGCTGTTTCAGAGACACCATGGGCAGTGGGATATACCTGATTGCTCATCTGCGGGGACTGATCCAGCCAGCCTTTGCTGAAGAAGAGTCGTGTAGTTCTCCTCCACCTCCTGAAAGATACAACCCGCCAGACTTGCTGGATGAGACTCATTTACAACAAGCACCCGCTGCAACTCTGGCTGGACAAGCCGTGAAGCAGTCGCAGTGCTTTCCTCTCAAGGTATCACTGGCAACTCCAGCAGCAAGGACAAGACATTGGCAGCTACTCTCCGCTACTAGTACTCCATGCTTCTCTCTGGCTGTGCCAAACGCCCTGCAGGCTGGCGGCAGCTGATACAGCAGTGGTCAGAAGACAGAGCCAAGGAAGGGAGGGGCGTCACTTCCCCCCTACTACCCATTAGCCTGTCTTCTTCCTTACACCACTCGCATGCAGCCTTCGCGATTCACACAAGACCCTGCCCTCTCTAGCATCCAGCAGATCAAGGGTCATCAAGCCCATTTGCTAGAAGAGACAGGGAACAACTCTGGGCAGAACACTATGGTGAATTTATACAGCTTGCATTCCAGCGGAAGCACCTTGGACCCTCATGTCTCCACACAAACTGCAGCCCATCAACCTGTGAGCACAATGCCTAGAAAATGCAACAAACGAGTGGCTTCCCCATATTAAGATGTGGCACACTGGGAAGCCCAACCCTCGTCTGATGAGCTTAAGGGTATTGCTCTCCCTCACCAGGCTGCATCAAGGAAGGCTTATTCAGTGGGAGAAGCAAACTTAGTGCCACCATGAAAATCTGTCCACCATCTGGGCTGCAGGGAATGAGCTGTCAAAATCTTGTTACGCTCCTAACATTTGATTGACACATGCTGCGTAATGCACTGCCATTTGTCAGGATAATTAGAAGAGGATCCCGCTGACTGCAACACCCAGTAGTCCGTCTCTGCTACCCTATGCCAGTCCTGCCGCTGCCAGCCCTTCCTCACAGAATTTGTTCCCCTCAAGTTCTCCCACTATGCTGACACTCACACCAATAGTTTGGCATCTCTGTGGCTGAATCTCCGACTTGCCAGCCTTAAATCTAGATGCCCGGCACCTGCTTTAACACAACACTGGCCGTTCTCTCCTTCAAGCCTCTTCAGGCCTGGCAAGTGCTTGCCTTAAACTTGAGCCATAAGGGCTCTGGGCACCTTGCATTCAGTAAACCCAGAGTTGATTTCAGCTTTTACATTCATTCCAGCTAAAAATATGTATCTTCAGCATGCCTTGTTCCCATTAAGCCTCTTAATCCCCAATTCCTCGCCCTCTTCAACCTGCTAATGAGAATAAAACGCAGCCTGAGGGGAACCTGTGCAATTTTCCACAAGCACACACTGTACCTTCAGGTGTTCAAGGTTGGCCTCTATCTTTTGGATGTAATGCATCACCAGGGCACTCGACTCCGCAGAGAAGGGAGGCCTCAGTACATCCGAGCAGGATTCCTTTGCTTCCCAGTGGGAGACCATTAATTCCTCTGCAAATGGCAGGCTTGCTCTGTCTGTCTGGGCATCCTGCAGAGAGGCTGGCTGTTCGTGGGCAGAGTTCATTCTGCTGCCGCCTGCAGTGCATTGTAGAACCAACGAAGTTACCTCCTCATCGGTAGAGCTTTCCTGTACTGAGCCATATCCGTCAAGGATCAAATAATTTCCTGTGAAGAGAATGACACTAATGCGCCCATAAAAGAGCAGCTCGGTGCCAGGACCCGGACGCATCTCCCCCTCATCTCTGTGGGGGCCACACCAGTGTAAAAGTGTTGCAAACTCTGGGGGTTCCGTTTCATTCTGTAGGGACAGCCCTCCCGCCTGGAGAGCTGCAGGGTTTGGGCCTTGCCTGCTGGTCTAGGAAACCTGCTGTCGCAAATCCTTTGGAATTTGCTGAAAGCCACAGAAGGACAACAGCACATGCCCCTATATTACTACTGAACATATTTAAGGCCTAAGCTGTGGCATATGCAATGCACATGTTCTGGGTGTAGGACGTAGGGAAAGCCCTGCTGTAGAAGACCCCAGATCCGTCTGGTCTGGCACTTTGAACACCCAGCTGCCCACAGGAGCCCTCCAGTAGGACAGGAGCAAGCCCTCCTCAGCCATCAGCGGGCACACGCCTGCTGCCTCTGGTAATGGAGGAAGCAAACCCCCGCAAGGCTGACGGCCCCTGAGAGCCTCGCCCGTGTGAGCGATGGCTCAAAAGAAGCCGAGTGTGCATCACTGGCACTCAGATAGTCCGGCACGCTCTCCAGCCATGCTGACATTCTGCTCCACTCTGACGTATTTGCAGGATTTGCTCACCTGAGATCCGCAACTGCACCTCTTCGACCTCTTTCCTCTCTGCCACTTCGCCTTCCGAATGGTTCTCATCACTGTGGACCTCGCGAGCATCGAAGAAGTGCTCTCCCCCTTCATCCGGGCCCGCCCCCTCCAACTCAGGGGTGGGGGTGTCTGGGTTTTCACGCAAGGAGTCCATTAAGTGACTGCTGCTCGACGTAGCATCCTCCAGTGGCACAAATTCGCCTGGAGTCCGGTGACCACAATAAGGGCCAAAACTACCGGCGCCCTTGGCAGGCAGTGTCCTACTGGCCCCAGAGAGGGACGCCTTGTCATTGTCTGCGCGCCACAGCCCTCTGCCCTCTTGGGCCCCCTGGGAAACTGTCCTGTGTCTGGAAAAATGCTGCCAGTCTTCGCAGGGTTTCTGTTCAGACATGCCCAGTTGCTGCATCAGCAACTTCTTCAGCAAGCCCACTGAAAGGGAATGTAAAATCATCACTGATCCTGGCAAGCTGCCTCCTCTTGTGCCCTCAGTGCTGAGATGTCAGAGACCCCGACACTCTCAAGGTGTGGATCCAGCAGCCAGCTCTGTCCTGGCTGAGATGGCGAAAGGTATGTCAGCCTCCTCTAACCTGCTCTCCTCCAGATGGTTCAGGTGACGGCTCCCATTAGCCTCGCCAGAATGGCCATGGCCCAGTAAGATGGGGAACAGAGCTCAGGACATCCGGAGGGCATCAAGCTGGGGAGGGCTGCAGCCACAACCAGGGACCTTAATCCCAAGACTGGCATCCTCACTGGACTGTAGCCACATGCTCCTCTATCGGCATGAATGCGCTAGTTCCTCCCCAATCTCAGCGTTCTCCAGCCTAGGCAGGTGAAATCTGGACTGGTGACACCTGCAGCACAGAGGTTCTGCCCCCACCCCCCCATTCCTATTCTCTTGTTTTGCGCCCATTTTGCCTAGAGAGCAGGTCACAATGGTTGGGCCTCACTTTCCTCACACCTGTCGATGGTATAAACTTAAATCTAGGTTGGGGAAAGATCCCATAAGCTAATTATTTTATCTGTGAAAGTGTCTCTTGCCAGACTGGCAAACAACCTAGAGAAAGATCACCTGTTCTTTTAGAGAACTGTGTTGCTTTGTAAACCACCTCTGTTCTCTTGTGCCAGCAGGTTCCTGGCTAACTGTGTACAGGACAATTTAAAACACCGATCTAACAAATCTGTTAGGGCAATCTGACAGTGGGAATGAACAATCTGACAACCATTCCATCTTTAAAGTACATTTTCAAAAATGCATGCAACTATGTCTTTGAGGTCAATAGCTTATCTATTTTAACGTGGGGGTGGGGGGGAGAAAGTCAAATGAGCAGCTTGAGCAAGATGAGAACTTCCTTGGGAATTGTCAGTGCCCAGGTCATGTTTGTCTTGCCTACCACTCTTCTGCATATTTTTTCCAGGAAGAACGGTAGATGAAGTTCATACGGGTACCAGGGACCTCCAGTACCTCCAAATCCATCCCTCAGTCCCACCTAGACCTCCTGTGTCCCACACATCCTCAACTACTCACGGTTCCTTAGTGCATCCAATGCCCATCGCTCTTCTGAGATTTGTAACGAGAGGTCTGGGCTTGTATGGCAATAGCGCTCGGGGGATTCTTTGACCAGCAAATCGGTTGGTGGTTTTTCTCCAAACGATCTGTCAGCTTCCAGGAGCTCCTCCTCTTCCGACCTTTCAGACATGGCAGCGGAAGGGGACTGAGCCTTCCGTATCAGAGGAGACTCCAGTCCCAGTTCTTTGTCTAATAAAGAAACCACCAATCACAAAGTCAGGATCAAAGTGTTCTCAGAATATAGCAAAACATAAAAATATTTATTAAACATGCTCAATGTCTCTGTGCTTCTACGCCTGAGGGTGGTGACAGAAGACAGAAAGCCTTTAGCATATGCTTGTCTATTTAAGGTCACAAACCTGGGAGAAAGACGCCACACAAGGTTGAGCATTTAGTGCCACATGTATACTCCCCCTGCAGCCTTTTTCTGAAAGGCTCTTGTAAAACCCAGAAGCCGTTCTAGTACAAAGATAACACACACGACAGTGGCTGGAACCCAGCAGTTAACATTTGCACAGAACTTTTACCTGGGCTCTGCATGCTGCTTTCAGGAGTAGCTTGTTCTTCCTTCAGTTTCTGCTGCTCTTCCTCCTCATGGTCTTCCCTGCAAGCCAATGCAGAAGAATAGGTCAACCCCAGGCAGATGTATCATCCTCTACGACTCAGTTCTTTTTCAAAGGATTTTCTGGCTAAATGTGTGGCTTGATTATAATGCATGTTAATGTATATACATCAGCATCAAAACCACAGCTTACTCGCATGGTCCTGACTGTGGTAGTGGAATTACGCGCCTGCCTCTTCCGACTTTCACCGTTCCTGCCATGCGGGCGATGAGGTCTTGCCACCTGCAAATGAGAAAAGCCAACATAAGGAGCTACAACCTGCCCAAAGAACATCCAGTGTTGACACAACTGTTGGTGAATATTCTCATTTTAAAGATTTTTTTAAAAGCAAGTTTTTCCTGTATTTCTGATCTGTTGTACCTCTTTTATACAGCAGAAATTTGCCATTTGGACATGGGAACATAAGACTTAGGTGCGGCCGTGTTTCATTTCTGTCTACCCTCCATTGGTTTGGGTCGTGTATGTGTTTCCTTCTATCAGGGCTGAGACAGCTATTTTGGTTTGAACAATAGGGTTCCATCCTTACAGGTAGCCTAAAATCATTTTAAGCGTAGTAACAACAGTACAGTAAAAACCTGCTGTATGTGAAAACCAAAAGAAAACCCAAAACAAAACCACCCGAAATTATGAAACAAGAAAAGACTCAAATATGACCAACAGAGCTAAGCAGTTAATATTATGCAGTGGTGGCATCTCTTGTTCACATGTTTAGATGCAAGTCAAGAAAGGGATTGTTGTTGTTTAGTCGCAAAGTTGTGCCCGACCCATCACGACCCCATGGATGACATTCCTCCAGGCTCTCCTGTCCTCCACCATCCCCAGAGTCCATCCAAGCCCACACCCACTGCCCCAGGGACCTCATCCAGCCACCTCATCCTCTGCCATCCCCTTCTTTTGCCATCAATCATTCCCAGCATCACAGTCTTCTCCAGTGAGTTGTTCCAGATACAGGCTTTTATTGCTGCTGGGCTATTTGTTTATTTATGGCTGGATCTGGACTCACTTTGCTAAAACTGAGGGCTAGCGGAAGTGGCCTGCAGGAACACTGGTCAGGAAGCAGCAAGGAAATCACAGGGAGCTGATGGGAAAATCCTGTGAGTGGCGCACCTGCGAACAGGAGCTTTGTGACTGGTCGCTGGGATGGAGATGGGACTGCAGGCCTCAGGTGGCGCCTGTGACGTGCGCAATCGCAACTATCACACAAATGGGTGGGCAGATGCCATGACGGACGCTCCTTCCAGCAGCGTGCCATTTTGCCAAGCAAGCTGCCTCGAGGGTGTCTTGCAATGAGTTGATAAGAGAGATGGTGCAGAACACCAGAACGGAGTGCGCTTTTCACCCGGACAGTTCGTGTGGGGAAAGTGGTGCAAGGAAAAGCAGGAGGGGAAAGACATTCATTCATGTCTGACTGCAGCACGCCTGCCCTGGGTGGTGGGTGGGGGGGGATCTGCTACATGAATACAACCCAAGATGAAAAAGGATTAGTAGGGTGACTCTCTGCTGGTATTTCCAAGCCATCGTAATGAATATGCAGTGAATGTTTGCAGAAACTCTCCCAAACATACGTGCCATGCCTGCGCTTCAAAACACAACAGCCCATTTGAGATGCCAAGGAGGTGAAGGGAAAAAGTTGTCAGGCTGCTGAGGGCTTTTGTTATGAGGATGTCATTTTAATTGCATATTGCCTGCAGGGGGAAAAAAGACCTGCACATTTCTCTTTCTGCAGTGAACTTTTCAAATTTATAATTAATGTTCTGTGCCTCTTTCTGGAACATCTGCAGCACACACAGAAAAGTGGGATACGAAATGGCTTCTGAATAGTAATCTTCTCTGTTAGAGCCCCCAGTGCTGTTTAGCATGCACACTTTTCGGGATTAACGGGCTGATTGGTAGAAATGCTGCAGTTCGGTTGAGAAATTCAAGACATGTGCCACAGAAACCCTGTGTGACCCTCTCTGCATTTTGTGTGAATGTTAAGGCAGGAAAGAATCTAGAACAGCAGTGGCCGGTTGCCCACAGTTATGCTGTAACTTTAGCTCCTTCTCCAGCAGCGGATCTGCTGTAACATGCATGTGACTGCAACAAAGGTCCCCGTGCAAACAAGGAGCCATTTAATCAGAGTATTAGTTAATCTCTGAGAAGAGCAGCCGGGTCATCGCCTCTGAAGGTCTGCAGAGGCGAGTGGGATTTACCAACATAAGAAGAGCCGTAACTGATAGGACCCTGGGTCCACCCTGCCAAGCGACTCTTTGCTGAGCTGGTGGAAGCCTGAAGCTGCGACCAAAGAGCCTGAGCCAGGAGCCATCTTGCTACGTCCTTCCTTCCTGCCCAGAGGCACCTGCACCGGGTGCAGCAAAGGATCTAGGGGGCTGCATGGCCTTTGGGGCAATGAGGTGGACGTAAGGTTAACGCCTCCTCCCTGCCTGTGATGCTTCTCAGTATTGCTAGATTGCCAACAAGGTTAAAGCCTTCCCTCTCCAGGAGGCTGAGTGGGAGCAGGAAGACTCTTTCAGGGGAAGAGACAGACAGTGGGAGAATGTGTACGTGTGCAGGTATGAAACATGCAGCCTTCTACCTGAGAGGAGTTGCTCACTCCTGCTCTACTGATTGAACTAATGGGCTATACACTGAGTCAGCTGCAAGCATGGGATAAACTATGTGACCCATAGCATCCCACAAGGGCCCTGCACACACCTCTGCCCCATTCTTCCTACCTGGAGGAAAGGCTGAATTAAAGCATTAGGAGGGACAGTGGGGAGTGGGGAATCCTGAAGGAATTGTATGAGCAACTACTCCAAGCAGGAAACAGCTTTCCAGATCCGGGGCAGAAGATTTATCTCTTTGCACAAGTGTTGAACACACTACATTGGCAGGGGACAGCAGGCTCACTTACACAGTCTTTTCAGAAACTGTCTGCGCCACCAGTTCATAAATCTGGGCTCCGTTTTCTGACATGGAAATGACGAAGAACGCTTTGTTATCTGCGGAAAACACAGAGACCCACAGTGAACATCAGATATGACCCTTAGGATCCGACAAATGGCACGCAACAAGCAAGCCTGAGGAAGAAGCAAGGGCCTTGTGCTGTTGTCGCAAAGCTCTCACAGGGGTAGCTACCTGGGCAGAATGTTAGATTTCTACACGGAAGTCTGAGGTTCCACTCTGTTCCCTAAAGTGTAGTCATTGTGTAACCTTGGGCTAATAATTATTGGTCTCTGTTTATCATTTGTAAAACTGGAGCACCGGTGACTTATGGACATGGTCGCTTTGGAGGTAAGAGGAATCAGAGTCATAATTTGGGGAACAGAAAATTAGATTATTGATACATCGCAAGAGTCGTAGCCAATAGTAACCTGAGTAGCTTATTCCAAGTTGAGTCAGGCATACTTTGTTTCAAAGGCAAGAGGACATATTTTTGGGTTCTTCCCAACTACTTGGAGTGGCCAGTTGCAGAAGACACAGAGAGGAGCAAATAGTTATCAAACTGAATCCGTTTTCCCTGCCACATTTAAGCTTAGTACAGCTACACAGATGGATACCACATTTGGTTCTCCAGTCTAGGGCAAACTCACCATCCCTCTTACAAAAACCCCATTAGACAAAACAATGTTTCTGGAACAAAATTTGTTCCGTGACCACCTGTTTCTTGCAGCTGCACTCACCTGTGGCCACTTGACGAACCAACACAGTGTTCAGTTTGATGACAGGGCTGAATGTATGCTTGCTATCTGCCGCATTGGCCAAGATCTTGCTGTGGCATCTCAGCACCAACCTATCATCCTGCTTCTGCAACAGTACCAGAATATCCTCCAAAAGCAGCGTGTAGAGATCTGCAGCAGGTAATAAAGTGGTCAGACTTACTCTGTGTGGTGCGTGGAAGACTGCATCCCACACAGAGACAGTAATCAACAGTGTACCTGCTCAGTAAGGTATGCAAATAATTCACCTCTGAACGAAAGATGGGACTGAATAATCTGGAGAATGGCTGCTGGGTCTTTGCACAGGCTTAACAATCCACCAGACCACTTAAAATGCACAGAAGTAGCTTAGTCAACTCTAAGAAACTGGCATGCATTATCTTTAATAGCACGGTGCTTCATTGTGGAGCTGTTCCTTCTGTCACTAATCTCACCGAAAGCAAGCACACTGCACAGAACTTACCAATTGTCTTGTCACGATTCACCTTCCAGGTCAGAGGCCCTTCATGAATCATTTTCTTCTTGGTTAAATCCAAATTCTGTAACATTACACAGAGCAAAGGTAAGATTTGCAGGAGATTCATCACTGCAAATGGAAGGGATCTATAGGGAAAATATTTTAAAATACAATATTCTACAACCACACTGTGAAAATATTGAGGGGCACCTGTTGAGAAGGGCCTATTTCACACATGACCACCACACATGCCTGTCTCCAAATAAGCTGCAGCCTTGTGCCACCTGAAACGGCAATACAAATGTAATGTGACTTAAGCTTCACTGGGCCAGAACTCACTCTGTCAGGTACAGGAAGACCAAAATACTTTGATGTCACTCTAACATTGGGTATCCCTATTTCTACCTATCGTTGTCTAACACCATGACAGGGTGAGAGAGGTTTCCTACAGTCTGCTGCATAAACATAGCAAAAAAAAAAAAAAAATCTGGGTTGCATTTACAAACACAGTGGCAAACCCTGGAGTTGGATGCTCCCTTCTCCACTCCCTTTACATGAAGAAGTAACATTAGAAGTGTCTGCTTCTAACTTGTGGATAACCAGAGTTTGACTTGCATCCAGGAGCAGCAAGCAATGGTTTGCTATAAGCTAGAAGCAGAAACTTCTAAGCTCCCTCCCTCCTCATGCAAAAAAAAGTGAGAAGGAGTAGGGAGAGGGTAAAGAGGAGGGGCTGTTTGCTGAGGGTCTCTGCTCCTCGTTCTCGTAACGACAAACCATGAGCTGGCATTATATGTTAACTGAGCCAGATGAAGTAACTTAGCAATGGGTAGCTACGTATTCTACCTTTGGATCTTTCAGGCAGTGCCATCAAAATGCCAACATTTCATGACCACCCCAGGTCCTTTCTATCATAGCTTAAAGTGCTTATGGTACCTTTTGGCAAGCCTCGCTGAGTTACAGCCAGCTAATGTCACAGAGCCCCGGGGGAGGGATTCTGAATCTGATGATATACAACCGTTCATCTCTCGAGGGGTGCATGAGGACTTCAACATGGAACCCGGGGATCTCACAATGAATTACATTGCAGTACAGTGAATTAAAGTGTTTGCAGTATATTTCTTTAAGGACTAACTGACTGAAAAGACTGCTTTGTGGGGCTGCGCTCTCTGCAGAGATCACAGGCAGTTCCTGCTCTGGCCAGGGTGCACGTACAGCAGCCCGTCCCTTTCTTCCCTGCTTCTCCTACCCAGAAACCCTCCTATGTGACCCCTCAGCCCTCCCTCCCTCCCTTCTTGGAACTGAGGCTCTGAGCCTCTGGTACTTGAGCCGTTCTGTGTGCACTCTACCCAGCATGCCCTGCCTGCTCCTCAAGACAAGTGCAGAGGCGCTCACCTCCCGAGCACCTTTGTGTGTGTCAGCTGAAGCGGCGGCATAGGGCACGCTGGGGTGAGCTCTTCCAAGGCTGCCAGCCCAACCTGCTCTTTTCCTGAGCCTCAGGGAAGGGAGGAGGATGGCTGGCGGCCTCGGAAGAGCTCGCTGCCATCATGTCCATGCCGTCGCAGGGAACCAGACTGCTCCAAGCAGCAAGAGAGCTGCAGCACCAGGCCTCCGGGGCTGCATGTGGCCCACGAGCCGCATGTTAAAGCACCCCAGTGTACGTGAACTGGTGCATGCCGAAACAATTCTGACGCTCGTAAGAAAGGCCTAGGACAGAAACACACAAGGACTCATGTAAAATGAATAAAGGCAAGCCGGGTGGACACGCGTGCATGTTTACACCCTTCACCACAAGTCACACTGACTTAGAAGGATCTATTTCATTGCAGTGCTGCTGATCTCCTACTGCTGAAGGGAACGGTCATCCTCTGCCTTCTCTGTCTGGCATTGCTGCTGGTTTTTACCTTTGGTCTGACTTTGGTTTTATTCTGTTGTTATCGTTCCTGTTTCAAACCTTTTTAAATGTTTGCACATTGTGCTTTATTATGGCATAAGGGTTTTAAGTGTTCTTCTGTCAGTTCTCAAGAAAGCTTCAGCTGTTGGGTAGTATAGAAATAGTAAAAAACATCAATCAATTCTTTCATGCCTACGAAGCAGGAAACAACAAGTGGTAACTGGCAAAAAGACCACCATAAAAATATCAAGGTGCATTCAACTTAATACAGCTTGTGAATGGCAGCAAAAGGATCTACAAAATGGATTTAACAAAAGCTTACAAAGCTGTGGGCCAGTTCTCGCAGCTTTTATACTTACCCTGAACTCATCTAGCATGGGACCCTCCAACTGCTTCAAATAGGACAAATCAAGCCGACGCTGGTAGTCTTCCAAATGCTGTAAATGAAAGTAAAAATCAGGCCAATGACATAAGCCAAAATCAATTGGCTGCCACCAGGCAACTGCAGTGAAGAACTGATTAATTTAGGGTCCTTTTAGGAGAAAGGCTACACGCAAGCTTTCTCAGTCATTTTACTATGGATGCTACATAGCATTGCCAACAGTTTCCGTTTACCCTCTGCAAACACAGGCACCCCCCCCCTCACCTGTTTGTTCTCTGCTTCTTTGACTGCTTGATTCACAAAGTTGAGGATCTGCCGACAATGATCTGCTGCTTTCTTCACTTTCTCCCTCTCTTCAGAGTGTTCTAAAAATATAACAGTGATCATGGGAATGTTCTTCATTGAGTAGCTTGCAAGTTCAGACATGAAAACTTTTGGGTCCTATTCTACCTGACTCAGCACAACTTTAAAAAGAGCTTTATACAGAGGCGTATACATTATTCTCTATTTACTGGGACTTGGACCTCTATCAAAATTTAAAGTCTAAGTAGTCACCTGTGTATTTTGCTAGGTACTTGTTTGCTGGCTTCACATAAGAACCATGCAGCAGATTTACGGGTCTCTCGATAATTATGAAGCAGCTCTCCTTCCCTTCCTCAAAAGAGCCTAAGTAGTGAATCAGCAACTGAAGAACACAGGTTACCTTTTCAGAAGGATGCAATTCACAAGGCTACGTATGGAACAGCACTGCAGACCATTAGTAGTCAAGACTGTGCATGTTTCTAGTCACTAAGCAATAGTGGATTGCTTTAAACTACCCAGAGTGCTTCAACTTTGGGATGGTGCAGAAAAGTTAACACTAAGAAGCAGCAACAACTGGACAAACTGTGACCACCACATATTACCAGACTCTAAAACCATAACGTGACAGTTGTATTTTCCCCTCTGCTCATCCAGGCCTATTAAAACCGTAGCAAATGCAAACATGCAGCAGGAGAGTAGCAAAGCTAAACACCTACAGTTAGAATTTATTGATTTTTGCACCGAGCCTCAATGACCAAGAGAGAATGGTTGCTTTCTCCCATTGGGAGGAAAACATAAGGCATCTCAAAGACGTGAAAGAGCAATGAAATGGAGTGCCAGAAGCCCAAACTGTTCTTTGCAACTGCCAAAGTCTGATCCAACCACTAATGGAAAGAGCAACATGTACCGGAGTACTTTGCAATATTATCCAGAAGAAGGGGATATTTGGTCAGCCTCTGCATCTCAGTGGGAATTATATCTTTCAGCTGCAGTCGACGACAGAGCGGATTGCTCTCAGCATCCTAAATTTAAACAGCATAATAACGGCATTTGTCATTTTTATTAAGACCGTAATTACCTGAAAGCATACCATCTATTCATCATATAAATTCCTTGCTGGTTCACATTTCTGGCAATTAAATACAAGTCAAGGAACGGCAAGATTTATCTGGCAGACAACACAGTCCTGCTGCACTGGGCAATTACACAGATGAAAGGCTCATCACAAAAGCTGGCGCTGGCTTCCTCCCCTCATTACTTCATATGGACTTGATATCATCAGCAATCAATCTCAGTCAGCAACTTAAGAGGAGACATTTTAATTTCTTGCGTGACATGGGAGATGCGCATGACATTTCAGAAACCCTACCGATCGAGACTGGCAATATGCAACCCCCTTCCCCTCTTGACTAAACAAGAAGGATCATACTTATTCTATGTAGGAGAATCTTTCCTTAAAGAGCAGCACTGTTAAGAGTTTCTTGAGGAGCCCTGTGTGGGGATTAAAAACTGCACATCCTGCAGCCCACACCTGTGGGATCCTTCAGTCTATAAGGAAAGACTCTGCCAGGACATATGAATGGTCTGGACCAGGGCAGGCTCACAACCCCTCCCCTAAGCTTGCTGTGGTCACAAGGGGGTGCCTGGAGGGGAAGGCCATCTGCTAAGTCATATTATGAACACGTGACCCATAGTCACAACTTGGAACATCTTCCATCATTCTTTGGATTAAGAGTCTTCCCTCAAAGGTAAGAACCAGCAATTATCCACAGCCAAACGGACACATTAAATACAATCTATTAATTTAGCCTCACTTAGGAGTCTCCACTGGATTGAATACCCACAAAGATTTACCTGGACAAATGTCTGGAAGCGAGAGTCTTTCTTTTGCCGGGACTTGATCACCTCCAGAGCAAAGGGCTGGTTGCTGCAGAAAGTGGCAGTGGCTTGTTTCAGTTTCTCCTCCCCTGCTCCGCTGAACTGAGAAAAGAATCCAGAGGAACCATATGTTAAAAGGAAACACAAAACAAAGACGGTCATACACTGACATCAGTATTTGCACACAGCATTGCTTTTCTGATAGCAAAGGGATTTTTCAGGGCAAAGATGCATCCAAAATAGGGCTGACCACTACATCAAAAGAGCTGCACCCTCTAGCCCTAGTACCGCTTCTTACAGTGAAACTCAGAAGCAGGGATTCAGATCGTGCCTTAAGTTCTATATGACCCATGAAGAACCCCCAAAGACTCTTGATAAGTATCTGTCTACTAGAAATGGGAACAACACAGTTTCGAGTGGACTCTCAGAAGGCTTAGTGCAAGTACAGCCTGCAGAATGCCATTACTTGTGCATCCACTCCTAAAAACACTTCCTTTCATAAAGCTCTTGTTTGAAAAACCAAGTCTGAAACTGGTTTTAAGATCCAACTAAAGTTCTTGAGAGTCAGTCCACGAATTTAGCAGGGAAGTTACAGCCTGAAAGTTGCTAAGATAGTTCATTTCCCCCGTCTTCCCATCACATCCGAGCTTTGTTCTCTCTTAACACTGACAACATTCAGAGAGAAAAGAAGTCCTCCCTGTTTTTGCAGGTCATCTTTAAGCTAAGTGACTCATTCATTTATTGGTAATTGACTAAAAATGCAGTCAGCCAAATGCACCATAGAAGAAGTGAAACACGTTCACCATGCTGAGCTGCCCTCGCCTTCCACAATTCTGACTCCTCCAGTTCAATGTCATTCTTTCAGAAATGAAGAATTTCAGATAATATGTTCCTAGGTAGGACAAATGACTAAGACTGACTTTGCATCAGTTTGCAAGTTAATTGCCCATCTTTTGTTTCTCTAAGCATTTTACTGTACTGAAGGAAAAATAAAAAGCAAACACGGCTCAGTTTACCCAGGTTAACAAGTCCTCTCCAATCTGATCGATAACAGAAGTCTCGTTCCTCTTCCTCACTGTTTTCATCTGCTCATTCATTCCAGCTAAGGAATAAGGACAACATGAGAGAGAGAAGCCGCTATTAAGACTGGAACCACTGGGACAATCTCTCCAGCCCAGTGACACCAAATGTACTTGCAATGTTTAGGGTGGAAGAGCTTCCATATTAACAGGATCATTAGCCAGCCAGCCAGCGAGCTCAGTGCTCAGGCTCTTGGCCTTGAGCAGCCATCCCACAGGACAATGATCATGCACTCCAGATCTCTCCTTCCCCACCAGTCATTCCTACACTAGCAGATTCCCACTGCTCCTTTTTACCACACATCAGCCCTCCTCACTGAATAGATGCCCTCACACACAAAACCATTATACACGCTCTGGAGGTGTATAAGAGGAAAGTATGTCAGCTCCTGATAAACTGTATTGCAAAAAGAGAAGTTTACTTTTTACTCATTTTACTGCAGAGCCAATTAAAAAAGGAAGTGTCTATCCTTACTGCCCTTTAGCAGGGAGCCTTTAAGAGAACAGGATCTTAGACTTGTGTTAGACTGGAACTTAGCGCATCCGTTTGCTACTCCTCACTTGGCCAAGAAACTCAGTGGGTAAATCACTAACTCTTGGCCTAACCTCCCTGACAAGATTGTTGAGAGAAAAAAATGGAAAAGGGCATGAGGATTATTAGCTAAGTCACCCTGAACTCCTTGCCAGAAGAAAAGCCAGAATGTAGATATAATAAATAAAAAATATAAGTAATGGATAAGCCAAAGCCCTAAATACTATGAACACCTACCTTTCAGAAGTTAGATGGAGACTAACCTCTCATCATCTATATGGTTTTAACCCTGAGAAATTGTGGGACATTTTTGTTCAGGTTTCAAAATCCACACCAAACTTAGTGCTGCTTACCCATGTGCAAGCATGGGGGAAATTAGAGATGCGCCCTGAACAAATAGGAAACATGAAACCCCAAACCAGAATTTTGCAGTGAGTGTTCCTATTCTTCTGCTCGCTCGCTCGCTCTGCTTCCTTTGCACAGCCACGCAAAGGCACCCGTGCGCTTTGCCATTAGACCTTCAGAAAGAGCGAAAGGTGGCGTCACGTGTCCCTACTTACAGTGAAGCTGAAGGATATCCTCCAGGTTTGAAAATATTTTCCGCAAGTCGGAGTGAGGCAGTATTGCTTCACGGGACACGCGCTGATAGAAGACCTGATCCAGAACCTTCAGCGTGCGGACATGAGCACGCTCGGTATAAAACAGCTCTGAAAAGGGGGAGGAGAAACAGAATGGCAGCAATGACCTTCTGTGTGAAGGCTATACCGAAAGAGGAGAGGGAATTATGCAGTCTAAAATCGGGAGGACGCAACTGGTCAAGAAGCGAGTGAGAGACTCAAGCAATTTCTGGCCCAGCAATTTACATCAGGGAGTGGTGGGGAGAGACCTAGTAGTAATGATTCACCTGCCTTCAGGGGACCCCAAGAAACAAGTTGATAAACTACTCCCCATATCCCAAGTACCCGAATAAGTGAAGACAAACAGGCAGGCTGGTAACAACATTTGGTCCGAAAAAGTAAATCCACTCGCTCAAGACCAAATCAACTACGGATTTGCCTGCCTTTGGAGTAAAGGATATGCTGAGAGGATAAGTCTCAGGGAAATTCTTGCTGCCACCCATCTTTCCGGACAGTCCTAGGCTGCCTTTAATATCTCCCTATCCCTGGCACCACCGCCACCACCGGGCCAGGTTCCATCTCTCTTTCAATGGCTCTGTGCAAAGTCCTTAAAACCTGACGCTTGTGCAAACACACAATTCCTACTAATACTCAAGTACTGAAGGCAGACAGGTCTCCAACCAGCACAGAGCAGCTTTGGCCACTGCCATGGATGTGCCCCATCCGTTCCCCACATGCATACCATTTATCACTTCCTGGCGTTTAATCTCAGAGGGCTTCAGGCCAAGCAGCACCTCGCGGCTCACAAGCTGCTGCCAGTTGGGTGGGTCCGACTCCATGTCAAAATCAAAGAGCTCATCTTCACTCTGGTTATCCCCGGCACCCACGCTGTCGATCCTAGGAGGAGGGAAGGCCCAATGAAATCTCTTTTTAATTTAGGAAGAGGCTTTGTTGGATGGGGAAGACTAACAAAGGTAAGCAAGCAAGCAAGCAAGCAAGCAATAAATTGCCCCAGAGACTTTATCAAATAAATCCTGCCTTGGGATTAGAAATGGAATTTGGTAGATGGCCTCTATGAATCAAGGTTGTTGACAAAATTTCAGCTTTTACTGTTAATGGGATCTTTTATATTTTGAGTGAAGAGAGAGGTGGCTTATCTATGGTAAAGTACAGGTAAACAAAAAGTGAGAGGAACCTCTTTTCATTGTATAAAAGGTACACATTTTTATCAAGATATAAAAATCCACTAATTTTAAAGTGGGACGGATATTACAAGTGCCAAGATACTGCCTGGTCTGCACTATATCAGGGTAACAAAACAGAGTTCTGTGTTAATCTGTTTGGATTTCTAGTTCTCCCTATCAAAAGGTCCTAGAATTATTTATAAATTGTTATTTCAGTGCAGTCCACTTAATTCATGAAGCAGTATTGGAATCTACTTCAAACGCATTCATATTTGTACTCACTTGCGGAAAGATTTCGGTGTTCCTAATTCCGCTAACCTAGAAGGGAAATAAAATTGTTATGAAGCATGGATAGATGGAGCGAATCAGTCTGCTCCAAAGCTTATGCTACCATTCAATACAAATATTAATTAATTAATTATTGATGGAATTTTAGCCCACCCCATTACCCATAAGGATCCCTGGACAGGTTACAAATAAAAATATACAATCCATAAACCCATATAATAGACCATGTAATAAAACACTAAAATTGCAATATTAAAATCTAATCATAAGACAATTAAAAGCACACCATTATCACACTTAACAGAAACCACAATAAAAGGCAAAACCACACTCCGTAATAAGATATAAAATCGAAAAACCATTTAAACCAATCTAATTACAGGCTTTGATTCAAGATGTGCATTTCTTTTCAGTGAAGCATAACTGCCATTATCATCAAAGCAAAACCTCATAATACACAGGAAGTTAGAGAACAGCCAATTTATTTAGCAGACTATTTCAAGAGACTCTAAAAAGATACGTTCTCCCAGAACAAATACAGTATCGAAGAAAGCAACAAAAACAGGGGCAGCAGTAACTCCTGCTCTGAGGCTAAGACTTGCCTGTCCAACTCGCCTTCCTCTTCCTGCAGGTGGTCCAGCGGAGGGGAGGGGAAATCAAAAACGGTGTTCGATGTGCGGGCTGTCCCCTCCACAGAGTCACTAGAAGGCAGAGTTTCTCCAACTTGCTTCGACCCTGAAATTAACCAAGGTGGGGTGGTAAAGCAGCAGGACTCAAAGCCCAAGCGATCACACACATCACTAATTCATTTCTCCACAGCACCACTTCTGTTGCACTGGTATTTTGTTATTGTACCTGCATTATGTGAATACACCCGATGCCAAGAAAGCTTCAGGTATAGAGCAGCACTGAAATGAAGTAATACGTAATAAATAATCTTCAGCAAGAGATGACTAGGCAATCTGCAGTCACCAGCAACATTTTCAGTGGAAACACAGCTCACATTTAGAGAAACTGCTGGCAATTTAAGATTTTGGGAAGCGCATAGCAAGCACATGCTGACTATTTTTTTCACCTGGTTCACTGTCCTTGCTCCCTTCTTGGGAAGGCAAGCTTCCAGCAGCTAGTGGGGACATGAGGTTAGCAGGTGGGAAGGCGCCATCCGTGCCATCACTGGAACCACTCTGGCGCATCTTGACAGAATCTGGTGGCTCCGGACTGACAGAGGAAGAAGTGGATAAGTGCTTCGGATGGCGCTGCTTTTGTAATTCCATGGCTTTGCCTACTGGAGATAAACGGCACAGTCAAGCTGAAACAGCTTCCGTCCAAAAAGGGGCTTCTCCCAGAACACTGAAGTCAGAGTAGAACACCCACCACTCTTTGAATGCTCCTAGTTATACCAAGAGAGGTAACTTCAGGCACTACTTCCAAAATAATTCACCACAGACTACCAACATCCAGCTTGGGGATTATATGGTCAGGACTGCAGAAGAGGAATATTTATTTCTCTTTCTGACATACTTGCATAGCTGTCATGGCGGCTTGGCCTCCTTGGGGGTCCCAGGATACTGGGGAAAACTCTCCTCTTCTTTTCATCTCCTTCCTTCTCTTTCTTTATACTTTGCTAGAGTTGAAAAGGAGACAAAGAGAGTAACTGTTAAGATAGTCTTCCCACACGCACTCATTCAAAAAGAAACTTTCTTTCATTGTTCAGGACGGACATGGGCAAATATTCTTGAAGTCTCTTTCTGTTAATTCAGAATGGCATAATGAATTTTTACGTATGAAGGGAAAGGGGAGATAAGAACAAGCAGAGCTGTGGCCAGCCCACCAGCCCACAACGTTCAAGTGCTGGAGGTGGAGAATCTAACTGCCCCCCCCCCCCCATTAATCAGCTCGAGAGCCACTGGTATCCTCCTGAGCGAGCCACACTGAAATCCGGTGGAGCTCACCACGACACTACATTGATGCATTTAGCTCCCAAAAGCTGCTACTTCCCATTTGCATATGCAACCTGCCAAAGCAACCATGTTTGGTTCTGTCAAAAGCCCTGCTTGAACGAAACCCCTTTCTTTCCTCTCGAAAGCAAGCATTCGCCAGATGTATCTATGGGGGTGCAGCTCCTACCTTTCCATAGCACCTACTTGATGGGGGAAGTACAAACAAGATGGAACAGACTGAAAACAATCTCAGTAATGCTAAAGCGCTAGAATATCACCCACAAAAGGGGTGGATCTAGTCCTTAGCCCCTTTTGTAAGCAGCAAGCCCCCGCTGGTGTTGTTTTTCTTTTGACAGGTGCCAAACGAAAAGAAGAGTAACATATTAGCCTATTTGCAGCTTTGCTTTGTCAATGTCCATGAATGCTGCCTTTTGCATTTTGACAAGAGGGCCCTACCAGGACATTGGCCGGGCAAGAGTTCACATTCCTCCTAAATACCAATCCAAAAAATAATAGTTAAAGGCAGAAAGGTTTTTGGACATTTGTGGTGCCCAGTTATTAAAAAACAATGGAAGACCAGAGATGGCTGGTCCAGTGTGCCCCTTGAAAGAATGCCACTTGGTGTCAGTGGGATGTGCTGTGAAAAGGATCAGAAAGAAAAAGAAAAAAGGGGCGTGCAGAGAAGCAGCGACCCAAAGAAAGCTACAGTTGGAGCAGAGAGAGAGAGAGAGAGATCCAGCGACAGTTGCTCCAAAGTGCCATTTGGACACTGGTGGAGTGGGCCATCACTGCAAGCCGCACAGACCAGCTCAGCAAAAGCTGCCAACCACTTCTGCTCCGTTCTCAAGCAGCTTGCTCCCCACTTCCCTGGACCCAGGATGGGATTCTGCCAGGTGGCTGCCTGGTTTGGACAATATTACAATCCAGCATTGGTTCAACTACGCCTAGAGCCAGCCATGGCTTGAGAGGGTGGCCTGTTGCCCAGCAACAAATGGCCCAAAAGGGAACAATCCAGGTTTGTACGAAGTGGCAACCCCATGTGGCTATTAACTCACAATGGGCTACTGCGTCACGCAAAGCCAATCTATATGTAGGTTTTCCACTAGGTACTATGCCACCCATTGAAAATGCAAGCAGCTCCTACTGAGGAATGTCCAAGGAGACGGCAGAAACCTTTAGCCTCAGCTAAGGCCATGGTTTAGGCCAGTTTTAGCCTTGTGATACTTTGCTTGTCAATCATACGCCACCCGAGTGGGTGTTGTAAGCAAGATGTGCCACTAATACCTTTATCTTTGGCAGGAATCCAATCCGTCCACGCTTCTGATCTAGACTCCGGGGCTCTTTGACTCTCACACCAAGGTGTTTCATGTAGGTGAGAACAACATATTGTATGGTTGAACTATAAGTAAAGCCAAATAAAAAGGTAAGATCTATTTGAGGTACATTGAATGTAACATCAGATTGCTCCAATGAAGTGATGGCAAATGATTATTTCTCTCTTTATTCAAGAACTTCTCTGGAATTGGGGTAGTGCTTTACATGCTTGTGAACCATAAGAGATAAGTCTTGCCATTTTAAACTCCTACAGAAATAATCAATGTATCTTCATCCTCATCATGATGTTGATAAACGTTGAAACAGAAAGACACTTATGCAATCATGTAGACGGTGAACCCGAAGTTATTGAAGAAGATTATGTTCAGAAGCTATTTAAACTGTGACTTCATTGAATACTAGCAGAAATATTAAAAAGCCTACATAGGCTACAAAAAGGGACAGGGGCAGAATCATAGCTCAGTGATATAGTACCTGATTTGCATGCAGAAAATCAGACATTCAATCCCTAGCATCTCTTTTAAAAAGGGAATACGAAAGCAAACATGGGAAAGCACTCCCTGCCTAGTATTCTACAGAGATACTATCGGTTATAAATAGACAGTACTAGACTAAAAAGGCATGAGGAAGAGGATTATGTAGAATCAATTTGATCACACAACCAGCAGAGGGCTCTGTCTACCAGCTCAGTACCCATAAACACCCAGGGAGGACCGGCTAGATTACCTCTTTTCCTCTTCAATGGGCTGAGATGTCATCCTGCAAGGAAAAGCAGAGGCAGTGAACTGGGGGCAGTTCCATCAACACATTATCTTACCCTCCTGAGTGTATGACTAGGCCAGCACCTAGTCATTAAAGCTTGAACCTGAAGGGTCTATCCCCCACTAATATGGCTAGGGGTCACCAGTAGGTCTACCCAGTATCTGCCTGGTCTCCTGCCCTGCCAGCCTCTGCCCCTACACAAACATCTCATGGCTGCACCTTGCGGCAAGGAGAAGAGGCACCATTCCCATCTTCACCATAATGCTGGGCTGACTGATGGTCTCTGTAACTCAGGAGCGCCTAGGGCAGTGTGCAGCCCTGAGAGACTTCTTCCTACCAAATGGAGTCGCTGCAGCATGGAGCTGAGATCTGTTTCCCCACAAGACTACCTTCTCTGCTTATGGCAGAGAAAAGAAAGACTATGCTATATGCATCACATGCAGACTCACAGCACTTCTTCAATTTTGGTAATGATCTGCTCTGTGCATGATCTCTCCTTCTCCAGCACGATACGGTCACGGACACGCTCTGCATCCAGCCTGGCCAACTCTCCTTCCGCCAGGGTCAGCCCCATGCTGCGTTTCTGTCTGAACACACAAAAGCGAGCCGCACCATCAGGACAACTCTTGTAGAGGAGGAGAACTGGCGCAATGGACACACCTCCCACAGCATCGCTACTGGCAAAGTGTGCTGCTCAGGGCAAGCTGCCTTTTGCACACAGTGCTTCAAGATGCAGAAGGCAACGCTGGTGCGCTTCTCAGAGATAAAGTGTGTAATGACACAGCTACAGCATCGCCTTTTGATCCTCAGAAAGCTCTTCAAGCAGAATGCAACACACTGTAAACTGCCTCTGTTGAATGTAAGCAGAGGAACTGCTGAGTTATTGGCCAACGCCAGCCAATTTCTCTGCTAGAAGTGTACAGCAATACATATCAGGCTATACTGTCGACTTTCTTCCAAAGGCACAGGAGCTACTGAACTCTTAGACTACAGGGGTGTGCATTTTCTGAAAATATATCTAAGCAGAAAGGATGCCCTGAATTACAACAGTAATTTTTTTAAACAAGAAAAGAAAACCTGGTTAAAACTCATTAATAACTAAGGACAATCTCTTCCGAGAAAGGATGGTCTCTATATATATGGACAGCTGCTTCGCAGGAAATCTGAGGAGCATTAAAAAGAAAAGGATAACACCACATCCCTTCTTATTGTGCTTCTGCCACTGTTGAAGGGGAGAAATCAAGTGCTCTGATTAATGCCAGAACTCCCTAGAGGTTGTTTATTTATTTACTCATTACATTTATATCATACACATTTATATAATTTTACTTTTATATAAATATATATTTTTCTAGCAAGCAACCCAAGGTAGTTCACCTGGTCCTCCTCTCCAATTCATCCCCACAATAACCTTGTGGGAAAGGTCAGACTGAGAGTCAGTCACTGGCCTGAAGTCACCTAGGGAACAGCACCGCCCAGCAGGGGCCAGAACTGGATCTCTTGGGTCCCACGCCAGCACTCTCACCACACCAGTTTCCACTGGTACGGCCTAAACAGGAGTCTCACCACAGTGGCCACAGTAAACAGCAGAGTTATTGCTCAAAGGAGACACCCACATGATTAGCAGGTGATCAATATATACCTAAAATCCTCAAGGTGCCGCTGCACTTCTGGAAATACTTTATCTTGCATAGCTTGAATATAATGGCGTTGCAGCTCTTCAGGAATTAAGTCCAGCCTTCTCTTTTCTGTAGATAAAGGGTAAAAGGTTGGTCTGCAGCTTGAATCCATCCCCAACAGAATGACCAAATCTGCATTATGCAAACACCAATGTAAGGTCGGTCTTTCTCCAAAATTCAGTTCTCAGATAACAAGGGTCTTGTGTGTATACAATATCCCTTGGGTACAGAGGATTTTTCAAAATGCAATGTGCATGCAAGATTTTCTTACCTATATCTACAGAAATATCATCTGGAATTGGAACTTTCAAATTCTGCAATGAAGAAAAACAAAACAGTATATATTTTCTTGCCTCAAGACAATCCTTTCATCTCCTTAGATGAAAATCATATAGGAAGACCTTCCGCAAGCACAGCCCTTCCTTCCCCTCACTGAAGGTTCCCGTCTTGCAGAAGGCAGATGCTGGACCAACCCATTTACTATCCCTAAAACTTGAGACCATCAAGCTAAGGGTGGTTAGACAAATTGGTTGCAATTAGTTCTCTACACACAATAAAAGAAGTAATATATATGCTTTGGAACTTACTGCAGTGCGATCCAAGAAGAACTGATTGAACTCAGTGAAGACACGACGAGTCTCTTTGGAATTTGTTTGTTTGTATAGGTCCGCAAAAAGATAGCAAAGCTACATGGAAATAAACGCAGGTAAGAAAGATGAAGGAGAACATGTAAGGCTTCTTTTTGTCTTTGAAGGGAATTAAAATTCTTTTGGCAATCTAATTAAGATTAGATTGTGAGATAAGGTAAGCAGTAACTTAAAATGCTGCTTCCTGCTTTATGCATTAATGTCCATGGTTGCGTTTCCGCACAGACTATATAACCTCAGAAGAAAGGGTGTTCCCTCCGAGACTTACATATGCTAATGCACCACCTCAATCTGGAACTGTGCTGTACAGGGTTTCAGAATCCATTAGATGCACAACACTAAACTTCATGTAAACTGACACTTTACCAATGAAGCTGGGTCAAACTGAGACACAACGTGATGCAGAAAGACAGCCAGGTGAGCCGGACGAGATTTCAGAAGCTCTATGTTCTGGAAACAACTGCACTGCCCGTTGATCTGTACAGACAGACGAAATATTATCAGAACCAGTTCTTGAGATCGGTGCTTCCTCCATCTCCCTTTCTGTCCCTTCAGGAAAAGATCAGCATAAGCTTGCTCCTTGAGCTTCTCATGTTAGTCTGTACTTTCATCATAGTTCCACACAAATCTCTCTCTCTCTGTCCCATGACTCTATTATAAATTCCTGGACAGTCAAAATGACTTAGAAGAGCTGGGCTGAAATACTGCTGCACTGCTAGAAGGGAAATCAGGTAGAAAATTCAGTAAGGCTAATAACTTCAGCCAGGTTCCAAATAAGTTTAGAAAAATAGCTCTCAGCAGAGACCCTTTAGGGGGAACAGCTATTAATGCTAGATAAGGTAGACCATATAAGTGAATCCTCTAACAAGTTTGAACAGAATTTTCTCAAAAGGACATTCTTCCCGCTACCCCATATCCCCACTAAAAAGACAAAGGTGCTGCTTAAACACAGGGAAGCAAGTATTGCACCACAATGAGAAAATACAGAGCCCGTGAGATGCAGTGGTTGGAATGCTGGATTAGGAGCTGGGAGATCCACGTCCTAGTAATTGCTTGGCCCTGAAGCTCAATGGGGGACTTTGGGTCGGGCAACGGCTTGGCCTAACCTGCCCCACCAGGTTGTTGGGAGGATAACAGAAAGGACAGGAAGGACATGTAAGCCACAATAGGTTCCTTACAGGAGGCAAAGGCAGGATTATAAATGAAATGTAATAATCATAAAAAAATAATAGAGTATAATGAACAGGGAAGATCTGAAACTCTACCTGCTCCTGTTCACCATCAAAGTCATCATCTTCTGCTCCTATGATCGGAGGTGCCGTCCGAGAGGAAGGGCTTCCAATACTGGACTGAGAGTCCTGAGAAGAAGAAGAAATAATAAAAACAATTACTAGTTTGAGTCCAGATAAAATAGAGGCAGTTAATATTTAAAAGAATAACAAATTAAAAACCATTAATGGGTTTTTTTTTAAACTGCTTGATTTCTCCAGTGTCACACAAAATTACCGTGCACCAAATTATAAACAAATGTTTGACCCCAAGTGGCATTAAAAGTCTGTCACCAAAACTATGAAAGTCAGTTGCAGGAAATATACAAATCTATTTTGACACAGCAATTCAATTTGTACAATTCTCCCCTTAAACAGAGCTGCTGATGCATTGTGAAAATTGGCTCTTGGCAATGGTAAAGATGCACAGGGAGAGAAGTCTGAAAAGGAGGCAAGGAAGACAAAGACTATGCCAGGCACCTGCTTTGGTTCCAGCTTAGCTGCTCCCTCCCACACTAAAGGTCAACAAACATCAACTGAGGAATGGGAAAGAGCATCTAATGTGAGCCCCGACTATGAATCAGTGATATGTTATGAGTTGCTTTGAGGAGTAGTTGAAAAGCAGTATCTGTATCTTTTTAATAGGAAAACGCATAAGAATGAACTGGTATGTGTGACACAAAAGTACCAGCCAGAGAACACTGACATACATATACCCTGAGTGCATTTTAAAACACACTTTATGGGAAAGACAAGCTTGCTTCTTTTCTTAAACAAAACCCAGTGTTCAGGTATCTAAATTCTACCCCCAAAAAACCACCCAGACCTTTCATGGAATTTTAGAGAATTCGCATCTTTGAGCTACAAGTCCAGTTCAATGAAACCTTTATACAGATGGCTGTATGTATGCCATGCCGTGTCTATTATGTGTTATTTTCATTTAGGGGTGTGTGCAGACCACACGGATTGGGTTTGGTCCTGAATTCAGAAGAGACTAATTTGAAAGCTTCCCGATTTGAGTTGACAATTCCTGTTTTCCATTAACTGCCAGTGGGAATCAACATGTCACACCCTTTCTCTTACTCCTATGGAATGGAATCTGCAGGCATAAAAGCCCCTTAGGAGGAAATCAGACCTGCTAGTTTCTGACAAACAGGGGTAAGCGTTATGTGCTATGCACCATTAAACTTCGACTCATTGCTGATAACTCTGATACGTCTTGGCAGATTGTGATGCCATTGATGGGATACTCGCCCCTTCTGAGAGAATCAAGCTTCCCAAGTTTCAGATGAACCAGTGCAGGAAGTTTTGTGAATGTGTAGCCTTTATGTTTGGGGAATTTCCAAAAAGACTGTTCTTATCCCCTGTGTTTTTGTGTGTGATTAGTTTAAAAAAAAAAAAAAAGACATACAACATAGAATGAGCTACCTCTGTTTGTGGCAGTTTCTTTCCTTGGAAGGAAATTGCAAATCCCTTAATGTGAAAGTAGAACTGGCCCAAACGTAGCCATAGAGTTGGCTCTGACATCCAAGGGCACTCCAGGGAAAAGCAGAAAACACTCAGCTCCACATGTGCATGGGTTGCACACCAAGGTGTGAAATACTTCCACACAGGCACAAAGAACAGACACAAACATGCATAATTACTGTTCAACACACACACACACACACACACACACACACACACACGGGAGTCTTTAGTCCATCCAGTTCCACACCGTCCCCTGACTGAGGTAGTTCAAACCCCTGAACGGAACATTTAGAAAAATTCAAACAAAACACACAGAAGAGTATATTTGAATTTCTTAACCTGAATCTGTTAATGAACAAAGAACCTTAATTCCTCTCAGTGTTCAGGTAGCATTCAGGGGCCTGCCCTTGAAGACTATTCAGCAGTTGCAAAGTGGGCAAAAACCAGCAGCCAGATCAATAAATGGAACCAGAAGTTCTGAGCACATAACACCAGTTCTTACCCTGGCCACCCTCACACTTCCAGGCCCTATTCAAGGTGCTGGATTATAACCTATAAAGCCCTACAAAGTATTGGGGCCTCCAACCACAATCTACCCAAACACTATGATCAACACCCTCTGTCTTCCTCTGACTGCCACCTCCAGAGGAGGCTGGGTTGGTGCAAGAAAGAGGAAGGCCTTCCCTGTAGTAGCCCCAACTTTACTATCCTTTTGGCACGGGGCTAAGTCTGTCTATGTCAAGGCATTTAACTGCTCTCAATAGCTTGGGGACAGCAAATTCCCAGGCATTTTAGATAGTCAACCTGTACAAACCCGTCTTAACTATGTACGTTGTTAAACTTCAGTTTTAAATGTTTAATAACATTTTATCCTGTTTTACTGTGATTTATATTTTATGCTGTACTTTATTGTTGAACGCTGCCCAGAAAGCTTCAGCTATTGGCTGCTATAGAAATACAAATTAATACTACTACAACTAATAATAATAGGTTAAAACGCCACCCACAAACTCAAATATCAAACTGGCAACTCAAGAGTGATATAGGTGGAGGGGAGGGGAGGGGAGGTTTTGTCAGTAAGAAGACTATAAAAAGTCTTCATGGTGTACTTACTGTGTCTTGATTCTCACTCTTCTCTGGGCTCTCATCCAGATAGATCCGCTCCTTCACGCCACTACGAGGACTCTGGAAAGAAGAAAGAGAGAAAGGATTTCTGTTCGGTGTTTACCAGCGATGACAACATATTTTGAGGAAAGCAATTTTCGTAATGGTGCAGCAGATTAAAAAAGGATGAAAACAGGAATATTATATGCAGAGGAAAGTGGCACAAAAGATCTAGTCACTGCTGCTGAGACAACCCCCTTGAGCTCTCGTATTCATGCTTTGGTAGGAGACAGGTTACCCTAGGACTGGCACACAATAATTATGGGGGATTAGTTTCCTTGAGTCATAGACCCTAGACTGAGAAAGCCCTCTTAGCATCTCCCCAAACATTTGAATTAACAAACTGTGTTCTTAGCAGCTGGAAAGGGACAGAGATGTCTGTGGCAGGAACCAGGCCCCTACCCCCTCCTTTTCATGGCATATTGCCCCTACAAGTTTGAGTCATTCTAACCACAAAATAGATTCTAACATGTTTTGGGAGGTATAGTTATTCTCTCCAGTCCTTTTGCAGAGGCCAGCACTAGTTTTCTCTGCCCAGCAACTGGGTGTGTGCCAGAAAATCTCGGATTTGAAAAACATGGCACTCCTTTCCCGAATTGCAGGGAAGACCCATGAATTGAGCTACCTCACAGCACTGTGCAAGGTCCTCAAACCTCCTTTCTGGACAGGATATACAGAGCAACACCATATGCACTTGAAAGGTGGGCAGGGCAATGAAAAAAATACACCTAGGAGCAACTATCTATGTAACGATGATTATAATTTAAAAACTCATGGAAGATAGAAAGGAGCAAAGAGCTGGTTTGACTGAAGACGGTTTACGTTCAAATTCCTGGTCATCCAGGAAGCTCACATCTCACAGGACCTGCTTTGAGCATAAGCGTTGGGGTTAGAGCCACCCGGAACTCTTTGGATGAAAGGCAAGATGAAAATGGAACAAAACAAATAAAGGCACCCACATGCAAGGAGGCTGTGAAGCGACAGTGAGTATCGCAGCCTTCACATCTGTGTGAATCCAGTTGTGAAACCCGTGGGGAAGATTACTTTACCCACTTTACTTCATCCACTGACATGTTGCTTCCAGAGACGCACTAACCTCAGCCATGTCACTGTTTGTCTGCAAGCTGTCGCCAAAGCTGCAGTCTCCTTTGTTTAACACTTCCCCCCTCTCAGCTTCGACCTCACTGATCTGCAAAGATTCCATCACTGCTTTGGAAGACAAAACTCCATCCTGAAAACAAAGTTGGATAAGGAATGGTGAGCATGTCATGATATGGTGCTTTAACAACATGACGTGAGCGGTAGAATTACGAAGTAAGATTCTGCAGGTTCCTAGTGAAGGAACTATTTGCAAAATTCACCCCATTTCTAATTTAAGGAAGACATAAAAGTCTACAAAAAGAGTCAAAGCCAAGGCATCTGTACACAGCTACACATATCCCATTACAAGAACCCTTGATTTCAAAAAGCCTGCAATTTCTCATTAGAAGGCTTTCATTTCTCCATATAATGCTCTCCCCATCAATCATCGGTGTCTGTGGGCGCAATCAGAAATGAGACCAAGCTGTTACTTGCGCGTCCTTTAATTGACTGCACTGGGAGGGCTGTGCAGGCTTGTGCAAACTGGCACCAGCACAGATGGGAAAAGCTTGCTTCAACAAACCTTTCCAACTAGTCTGATCAGAGCAGCAAACGTTCCCATTACCTGAACGGAGCCTGTTGCCTTGGACAACTGCTCCTGGAGCTGAGGGATGTGCTTCTTGGCATCCTGGATCTCTTTGAGCAGTCGGGGAGAAGGAGAACGGCTGTAGTCTTCTTGCAAAGACTGAGAAAATTCAAGGATTTGGAGAATCAATCATCGTGATGGTCCCTTAGCTGCATCCATGTACTGAGCTTCACACAATTCCATATCTCGTTGGAGGGGATGATCCTCTGGTCCCAGGTCATGTTGTGAGGGGCTATAGGAATATCTGGATTCCCAGCTTCAGGTTCAGAGAGAGCACAGTAAAGCAGGGACTCCAGCCACACTACCCTGCCCCCTTGCCTGAAAAGAACCACAATGGCTGCTCTGCCAGGCCAGGAAAGTGTCCTCAGGGAGGGGTCAAAGGTGCCATTTCAGGTGGAAGTTCAAAGAGGTTGGATCCAAGGTCCCCTGGCACCTCTCTATTCTTCCGCCCTCCTTCCAAATGTCCATCAAATACCCTTAGCCTTCCAAGATGTGTGACTTACAGGCAACCACATTACCAGTAGCTAGTGCGGTAGAGAGTGCTCTTGACATATACAAAAATGCCTGCAAGTCATTGGAATGCCTGAGGCCGTGTAAAAATAAATTGGTTACATGTTCAGTTGTTTTTTTTTTTAAGTGTTGAATGGAATAAACACTGTTGATAAAATTCATGCAGTGGCTAGGGTAGGGAGGTGATGTAACTCCCACATCTGAAAGTAAATTAACTTTGGACTAATCCCCCAAAGCAAACTGCTGTCATTCATTTCCAGATGTTAGATGGCTGTTTGTGCTTCCAAGATTAGGGCGGAAAATGCCTCCCTGAGAAATACTTGGAACAGATTTGGAGCTTTCACTCTGGCAATTCTTGCCAGTGCTTAACTGGTACAGAGATATCTTAAATATCCTAAAGCTTCCAAAATTACACAGAAGCTGTGGTGATCAGCTAGGCCAAGGGCACAAGAGTGTTAAGCAAAGGTAAACAGCAAGGTGAAGAAGTAGCAGGTCATTTCTGACTGTCTTCATCAAGAATATACTCCCTTTGTACCTGTAGCTGCTGTTGCTCTTTCTGCAGCATCTTCCTCAAAATCTCCACTTTCTGGCTGTGCACAATATTATTTTCCTCCTGATAAGAGAGGGATGACCAACATTTACTTAATAAGGAAAGCTTGGTTGTTCTTAAAGAGATTATACCCAATATGTTCTAAATTGGCCAAAGCATTTTAAAAGGAATTCTACTTTATCCATATTGAAGTGGTTCAGCATATGCAACAACACACACAATTTTATATATTAGAAGTTACCTGTTTATTGAATCATCATTTCTATGCAATTGTATCTTCTTAGATTTTAATAGAAAAATCATGGCTGATATATGGACGGGATACAGTATAAAAAGGACATCAGGTCACAGCTGCAATGTTCCCATAGTTGCAGCCCAGCCCTGATGCCTCCTCAAGCCTCATTATAAATACAGCAATTGATTTCTATAGAGGTTTAGCGAAGAGAAATGCGTTCCATAGCAGAGTACTGCTGACCAGCACATTTCGGAACCTCTTCTCCTTCTCCATCCACTGCATTTACGTTTATCTCACCTGTCGACCTGCAGCAAGCAGCCCAAGGCTGTTTACGTGCAACCTAATCCCCTGTAAACCACAAAGAGCAGGATAAAGAGACTTCTGCTCTTAAGCCCGTTTTCCCACAAGCCCTTTCAGAACTTACCCCCATCAGCACAGGGCTGGTAATTCTCTCTGTGTTTCCAGATGCTCCAGGTGAATGCGGAGATGTCATGATGGGGGACATATGCCCAAATGCTGCTGAATCCACCTCCGAATCAGCCAGTGGGATCTGGGGCGACCCTGGTGGGCGCCCTTGCACAGTGAGCGCTACATAGGAACCCGCTGCACAAAGCAAATGTACTTGTATTGGTCATACTAGACAGGATAGGTCAGAAGAACAGCTCCTTGCAATGTATTACTAAGGGAAGGTGTTCAGGAGCACAAAGAATAGCTGTCCTTGGATCATTAGGTGTCAGCTGCAGAGACCTGAACTGTGATGCCAGCCAAGTATTTTGGATACTGCGTCCCATAGATACGCAGCAGAAGTGCCAGAAGAGAAGGGGCCGCATCACTTCTCTGTTTGAAGGCCTTGGCAGAAAGCTAATGATATTTCAGGAACAGACACAAGTGCCTGAACTTCCTTGGTGATGCTTTCAAACTACAGGCACACCTGCTGTTTTGCACACTAAGTGAGCATCTAAGCAGCACAAGTCCAAATGCATCAGGCACCCAACTCGTGCATAATTGTTGCACTGGAATGCTAAACAACTAAAGTACTGCAAGACCAGAGCAAGCACAACATTTTCCTGGGCTAAAAGATTTCTGTTAGAAAAGCAACTTTTTCAGCGATAGAGTAGTCCACCAGGACAGACAGGAAGCAGATTAAACTCTGCATTAATGTGGACTGAATAATAGAGACAACTGGGAGAATTAAGTGTGAAGGACTGACAGGTAAGTATTTTCTCTCACACACTTTTGTTAACAAAGCAAGCAGGAGAAGTTGCCCATCAGTCAAACCAAGCTGACCTGTTCTCTTCCACACATTTCAAAATCATATCACATTCCAGAAAGGCACCCCAAGGTCTTCTGACAGGTAATACAGCAATAGCATGGGTAAAATCCAATTAGTAATTGCCTCCTGGCTGCATAAGGACAGTTCCACTTCCATCAACCTATATATCTGAATAAACCATCCTCACAGAGTTTACTCACACTTTATCAGCTTCACAACCTCCAAATGGTTTGAATGTGTAACCAGAGTCCCATTCACCTAGGAAAAGATAGCTGTGTCAATGCTGTTTTGTCACTTTAAGTAAACAACATTTTAAGTCTCCTATTTTATTTATTTATTTATTTATTTATTTATTTATTTATTTATTTATTTATTTATTTATTTATTTATTTATTTATTTATTTATTTATTTATTTATTTGGAACACTTATATGCCGCCCCATTCGCAAAAGCCTCAGGGTGGCTTCCAATACAAATAAATAGCTATACAAATACATAAAAATCTGGAGACATCCCGGCATAAATATAAAATCAATAAATAAATTCAACAATTAAAATAATTTTTAAATAAAAAGGTCTATACTACAAAGAGCTTCCAAATAGCCTGAAGTGCCTGATCCTGCCTAATTTTGGAAGCTAAGCAGGGTCAGGCCTCACTGAAATCTGGATGGGTATCTTAAATATTGTGACCTGCCCAGAGACCTTTGGCTATGGGTGGTACATAAATGTAAGGAAAGAAAAAGAAACTGATTTCACTTCTACCATGTCTTTAAGAAGGAAAAAAAATCTGCTTTATTATCTTGCTGCATGAGAATGTTCTGCAAAATCTACAAGTGTAGGCAATTGGTACCTTCCAGATGCTTTGAACCACAATTCCCATCAGCCACAGCAAGCAGGAGAAATGGTCAGGAAGTGCAGGAATCATAGTCCAAAACCTCTGGACATTACATTGTCTACCTGGCCTAACAAATCTTGCCACAAATTTTCTTCACAGTGAACACCTTTCGGGTCTTGTGCTATTTTACAGCCAAATTGTTTGCTCACTATGCTAAATGAGTACCATTTGATCAAGTGAAATTAATTTGACTGCAGAGCCATTGCACAGCTCTGTCTTCCAGTGCGCACACTCACTCAGACATGTGCACACCTACATACTGCACTGAAGGCCCTTCTCGCAGACTTGAAATTGAAGCCTTGTGTAATTTATATCAGCTTACAAAGCAAGGTTATGAAACTAGAGTGCTTTCAAAAAAAAAAAAGCATCTGGCAACACATGGCTCTTGCATACTGCCAATTCTAAATATAGAAAAAACATGGTGCTTCAAATGTTCCTGAGCGGGAGCTGTGGGCAAAACAGTGATGCAGTGCGGAGAGCCGCTTGACGAATCCCTGTCTCTCTCCAGCATCGATCGACTCTTCCAAGAACCCCAAGTGTTCTTACCTTGATGATTCGGTCACCAGTTTGAACCCCAGCCCGCATGGCTGCTCCATCTAAAGGGGAGAATTCAGCAGAATGTTTCCAGCCGTTTTCTACTCTGGTGGCCCAATAAAACACACCTTTCCTTTCAGGATAGGTAGCGGCCACACTCCACCAAGCACTACGTGAGGCATCCGCACAGGACGAGTGCGGATCAGCCACTGCACGCCACACCAGTCCCTCAGCGGTCACGATCGATGCCACAGGGAGGCAACCGCGAGACCAACATGGGCCACAAAGTCAACACTGCTCGATTGCATAAAAAGAAAAGGGAGATTTGCCTGTCCGTTCACCAGGCTTCTGATTCTGAGCTAACACACGAAGGCGGCCACCCTGTAACCACTCACTTGCACTCACTGAAAACAGTAAGACTTACTCTAAGCAGTTAAGCACAGAATTACACGGCAGAGCTATCGGGTGGGGAGATGCACCAATATTCTTCCTTCCACGTTAGAGAAGCGAGACCTCTGCCTAGTGCTATTTCAAGAGTCTACAGAGACCGTAAGATTCTAGGAAATGAATATGATTCACAATGCAAATAGAATCAAAATAGTATAAAAATAACTAACTTCCTCCACAGCACAATGATGCAGCACTTCTGTCAACTGCAGGTTTGGACCCGAATGGTTCTCCCACTATGTAGTCTGTTCTCATGCATGTCTGTGATGGTGGCACCAAGTACAAATGCTGGACTGCTCTTCCTTCCTGTGATACTTAGCTTTTTAAGAGGTTCATATACTTGAATATGATACCCAAACGGCATGATCTATGTGCAGCCCAGCCTTAATATTACCACCACCACTAGTGCTGCTGCAGTGACATCTTGCATTTATATGCTGCTTTCCTCCGCTAGCATGGAACTCAAGGTTTTCCTTCTTTCCATTTGGTCCTCACACCAACAACCCTGTGGGGTAGGTTAGGCTGAGAGGCAGTGACTGACCCAACATCACCCAGTGAACCCCATGGTTTAGTGGGAACTGGAACCCAGATATCCAGGGTCTCAAGTCCAGCACTTTCAACCACCCCACCAGAATCTCCCTTAGTGCATTAGATTGAGCATTACCCGTAACATACAACAGAAAAAATGTGTCCATTGTACACAGAAATACGCCGCCAAGAGTGCAGCTCAATGGCAGCTCCCTGCAGCAAACGTTTACAGTGCAAGACATGTAAAAACAAACACATTTATGTCTCACACTTTGAAGACGCATGCTAAATACGCCTGTTGCACATGTGCCAGCTAAAACTGGGATTTGTGAGATGGCCCTGAGCAAGCCCACTTACCTTCCTTGACAGACTGCACAAACACCGGGTTGTCGCCACTGACTGTCAACCCAAATCCATTTTCATCCCTCTGGATAATAACACACCGCTGAACAAGACCTATGCAGGGAAAGAGGGAAAAGGCAAAGAGACACTGGTGTAGGCGGACGACCACAACCTTATCTGCTAAAAGATATTCATATGGATTGTAAGCTGTGCGCAAAGGATAAAAGAAGGCGGAAATGGGAAGCCCACATCGGCGAGACAAGAAAACCAACAACAGGCCAGAAGCATGGAGATCACTACACAGGTTGACAATGCTTGCAACACGGGTCACATGACTCAGAGATAAGGCAATGAGAGGCATTTGCTGTATTTTAATTTAACAGAACCCCTGAAAACATAAAGCAATTAAATCAACCCAAACAGATGTGCTGTAGTACCCACATTTACTGTAGAACTGCCCTTTTGGTGTAGCACATACGTGTTTACAACCCGTTATATGCAGTCTTAGCTTTCGCAGTTCATGCATTTAAAGAACAGCACCTCACAACCGGAGAAATGACTGCCAATAAACTACTAGAATGGTTCTGGAATGGGTGTTCATTGCATTTTCTACAAAGTCATTTTCCAAACAGAAATAATTTGGTCAAACATGACAGGCTGTACATAAGCCTGTTAAATCCACATTGTACCAAAGGTTACAAAAGTTGCTAAGCTGCACATTTTAAATTGCACTGTTTCCAGGTGGGTTGCTGGTGAGGAGACTTCGTGGCAAGCATGGGGAGAAGCGGCCAGCTCCTCAGCAAATGGGCTTCTACCATATGGGCTGGCAGAGGAGGGCCAGGCCGCCCCCTCTCCGCTCTACCATTCACTCACTTTCAGGGAATTTCTGGCCATCAATGGAGAGCAGGCAAATGGTTGAATGAAAGGCTTGTACTGAATACACATGCTTTTGGCAGGCACACCTTTTTAAAAATCCTTTCAGGCACCCATAGCTGACTGTAGAACTCCAGCCACAGTGGATGCAATGCCACTCATTCAAGATCATTAAGTATTATACATAGAAACACAGAAACAGAGCGAGTCAGAAGGGGCCTCCTGGGCCATCTAGTCTCACCGCTGGCTCCACTCACGACATGCCCACCATGGGCATGTATAGCCTATCCTATACCATAAGCTTCAGTCAGAAGCGAACAGCATCCACCAAGTAGCATTAAGATTTTGCCTCGTATAAAACTCTTTATTTTATTTTTTTTTTCCTTCCTGGTCTCTTTTAAGTATCCTTGTCAGCCAGCATATTATCCCTTGCTATTTGGAGCTTTTCTTTTAAATGTTGGTATACATTTAGGAACTGCCAAATAAACAAGCCTCATGACTGGTCCAGGGCAGAAACATTTCTTTTAACATGAAAGGTTCTGATTGTTTCAGATAATTAGCCAAGTGGCTTGAAGTGCAAGTCATGTAACAATAAAGCACTATTAAGGCATCTATCCAAACTTCACAATGGTATTTTCAATCAATTCCACTGGCTATTTATAGAACAGGTGACAAGTGAAACAACTTCTAATTAATTCAAGCTGCAAGCAAAAACAAAGCTCAGTCTGGTGCAGCAACATCTCATCAGAACTTTAGCATTCTAGGCATATCACAGTAGCACAGCTCATATACTCTCTGTAGCACTCAGACAGTTTGATCAAGCAGGTATGATAGGAAATCCACACCGTTGTTATAGTGTTGTCATTGCCCCAAGAAGCGAACTGTATGGGTTTGCCATTGTACATTTGTGAGCTGGCTCCCACGAGCTCTGATTCAAGTTTAACTGGAGTAATAATATACATTGGTGCAAAAGCCACCCAACAGAGAACCGGCCAAGAGTGGCATTCCCTTCACGAATGGCAAACAGCAGTGGCAGCATATCCCCCCTTACTTTGCATGAATAAACACCCCTGAGCCTCACTACAAAATATGATGCTGAAGGGTGGAATGTGAAAAAGGGAACAAATACATTTTTAAAAATCCCAGTTTATTTTAAACTTGCCTGACCGACTTGTGGGTTTTACTGCTAAGACCTTAGTTAATCTGCCCAGCAAAGCCTCTCCTGATTTCAAGTCCCAGCATTCTGTTTCAGAGGTTAGGCATCTTAATTTCCTATGGAAGCTTGTTCTAATGCCTCTCCCAGAATTGTCACTGTGTGGATATTTTTCTACAGGCCACTCCTTTGTTTGTGGCACCTGGTACTGAACTCATGCACAGTATTTCAGAAAACTTCAGAGAATCTACAGGGAGTGGAGAAAAAGTATCATCCTGCAGCAAGTCTCCAGTTTGGCCCTGCTATTACAGCGATCGAGTGATGCTATTTTTATTGAAGCAAATCAGCCGGAAATTTCCAATAGTGCTTTCTGCTCCCCTTTGTACTTGCCAAATATCTCAAGGATATAGGAAGGCCTAAAGCAACTGAAAAGGGAGAACTCAAAATACTCCTTTAATCTCTAGTTGGACCAAGTGAAGTATCAGGATAGTCATTAGATTTATATCCCACTTTTTTCTTACAATGAACTCAAAGCCGCTTACATCCTCCTCCTCCTCTTGCTCTCTTATTCCCACAACAACAACCCACTGAGGAAGAGTAGGCTGAAAGCCCTGGCCGAGCGGGGACTAGCACCCAGGTCACCTGAGCTCTAGCCCCATGCTCTTAATCACTACACCACAATGACGCTCCATTTTTAGTTTTTTAGGTAGGCAAATGAATTTATCATGTGGCCAGGAGCTCCTAGTTTGGCCCCATACTATCTAGCAGGATACAACAGTTTGCAAAGCTGCCATAAAGTTATAATAGTTTGGAGGTGGTGGGGAGAATGAGCCTCATTCCCCAGACTAACCTGAAGTGTCCAAGCCTTCCTGCTACTTCCTCCAATTTTTCTAAGGAACCTGATTTCAGTATTCCTTCCTAGGAGCACTGAAATGATAAAAGGCTTCAGAAAGAGACTTTAGAAGACACAGAGATAAAGGCACTATATTCTCAAGCTATATTCACAAGCTCATTGTGTTTTAGAGCACTTTCTTCAGAATATAAAAAGAAAAAAAGGTTTAGTCTTTATTGGCTGAACATACATTTGAGAAGCTGGCAGTATTTAAGGGGAAAAGGATGGAAAACTGCTCTTATAACTTCCAGGATGTCAAAATCTCATTTACATCTGCTTTCATAAGCAATCAAAGACTTTCTACTTGTTGAAATTCCTGTTTGGAATGTGAAACAACACTTTCTTCAAAAAAGGTAGCTGCCACACCTCTAATCACTTTTTGCCACTTCAAGATATTTCCTCCCTAAAGTCCAAGGGCAAGCAAAAAGACTGCAGTCATCAGCAATATAAAGCGCGGCATTCTCTGCTTGCAGGCTCTTAAATAGCTTGTCTCATCCAAAGCAAATACTGCAAACTTTTCCACACAGATTTCAGCACCAGTCAGATAAGGGGGAGGGATGAGGGAGCCAGCAAAGCAAAAGACCACTGGAAAGGAAGGAGGAATGGAACCCACACAGCTAAATCCTAACAGTAGACAGAGCTTCAGAGGGAAGTCTGAGAGGAAGCAAAAAGACCTGCGTTTAGGAAGTCATGTTTGATTACACATACATGGAACACCAGGGCACCGTACAGACAGAGGAAGCAAACTATAGATAAATTCCAGCAGGCACACAGCACATTTCCTGTAATCAAGACAGATTAGTTACTTCACAGCATCGTTTATGGGATTTCCCAACAGCAGCCTAGGCAAGAGTTCCTACTACTGAGGACAAAACTAGACCAATATCCAATATAACTACAATCGCTATTTCTTCAAAATGTCAATATATAATCTTCGTTCTGGTTATACAAACAAGTTGCAGGAGAGGGAAACCCAGATGGGATTCTAAGTCAATAAAACCAGTGTGTATGTGTGTGTGAGAGAGGTCTCTTCCGCAGGTTCTGCCTTCATCACTCTGATTGCTACTTAAATCTGTCATCTTGAAAATGTCCCAAGCCCTGGAAAGTTTGCAAGCACCATATTCTCAATACGCAGTAAGAGAATTCCATCAAGTCTTGGAAGACTTGATACCTGTTCTATTCAACAAAGCATTTCAATAAGAATTACTGTATAGGATGAAAGAATTAATACCTACACCAGTGAAAGATTAAGGCCAAGAACAGGCCTTCTCTGTTTCCTCCCTTTCATGTCCCATGGATTTCCAGAGAATCCATGAGTTTTCTCCTCCAAAATATACTGAAGGCTATAAACTGCAGGAACAAATCTACGGCTATCTCATTTTGAAAAGACTTCCAGGGCTTCTAACAAAGTAAGCGAGCTGGGGTCCACATTACACTAAACTACAGAGGGTTGTCAGCCATCAGTGGGTGCAAGGTGGCTGAAGCATGATGTCCAACCCAGCTCGGCTTTTTCTGCAGTGAGTTGCTTTTCACAACATGCCACTGAAAAAACCCATAGGTTCTTGTAGGGATGTTTAGAGTGGCTTGCTCTCAGAGTAGTCAGTCATGACAGCCAGACCTGGTAACCACTTTAGCATGACAACGTCAATGGGGAGAGAGCCACGTCGCAAGAGCAGTGAAGAGCCTCCCTGGACACTCCTTGCAATCTCGCCAATGCTGCCACCGTCCACCCTTCACCTCCGGTGTCAAAGTTGCCAGGGTCAACCGACTTACTGAAACGGCACTGACACTTCCAATGTTCCCATCAAGTTGGCACCCCATCATCATCGCCATGACCTTAAAAATGGTGCAAATTGCTCTTTGTCCTACACAAGGATTGCGGAGCATAGCAAGGCCCATTGTCCTATTTTATTGACATGTTTCATTGGCTGTTAAATGAGAAGAGCAGCAATCAGCTCCACATGTTCCCACAGTCACGAGGTCTGCAGCATAAGCTCTGTGCTTCTCCACCCATTTCAGAATCCACTGTCAAAGGGAAGACCAATGTGAATGGAGGGTTTGACAGCTGGCATTTCAACATATTATAAGATAGTTTGACAAGTGGCATTCCTAAAAATCTAGGGGTCATTTCAATGTTCCTGAATACTGATTTTTTTGGGGGGCGTACTCTTGGATACTGGGATTATAAGGATTCAAGAAGGGATTCCCACAAAGGCAGCTGGGCTATGAATTAGGAGAGGGTGGGAAGACTGAAGGGGAAAAGAAATCACCCCATACCACCATATATCCCGTCATCTTTCAGGATTGATGTGGGCTGCTCTGCAAACAAACCTACAGTGGTTTATTCTCAGGGTGGCTTCTCATGATGGGCAAGCCATGTAGCCAGTGACTACCATCTGAAAGTTCTGTACAACCATAGCCTAAGCAGCTAAATAAGTTTGTGGAGCTGGAACAGAGGTGTATGTCCTATAGTACATTTTGTGTTCCTTTAAAAAGAATGGCTTATGGTTTGGAAAAATCCAGGAAAAGCACTAGGAATTCTGATGTGCGAGAATCTGAATATTTTAGACTTCCCAACATAAGCTAAACTCCTTCATTTGCAGGATAGATACCTGCTGACCGGAAATTTAGGCAACCACCTTACTAGGGAACCTTATATAATTCACTGGCTCAATGTTTGTATCTATACAGCCACCCTTCGAGGATGGAAGACAATGCAGAAAACGTCCAACATTTGCTAGATTCTGGTTAGTATCCATCAGCAAGCTTGCACATTTAAGCCACATAAAAAGCTCAGTCCTTTCCCCTGCTACACAGCCAGCCATGCATGGCAGGTAAAGGGCAGAGGCCTTGGGCACACAGGAAACTGCACGAAGCACACTGAACAGAGGCAGAAGGCTGCAGCGGATGCTTCAGCTTACCATATGTTTCGGATCTACTCTCCTCTGAGCTACACTTTGTCTTCCTGGAGGAGCTATCTGCACGAAAGCAGGAGAAAAGGAGAAAAAGATATAGGAAAAATGGAGACCAACATGAAAGAAATTCATAAAAAAAACAAAAAAAAACAAGATGATTTGTATAATTGGGTTAATTCGTGCAAAACACAAACGAAGTATGAGCAAACACAGAGGTGATAACATTTGAAATCAGAACATGAATACCAGAGGCTTGGACTACATAAATAACTCTGCACTGTAGGGTTCTAGTAAGGAAGAAACAGGTACCATAATCAAGTTCCCTCTTTTCTACACAAATAGTGAAGATATTCTATGTATGATCATCATATAGTCCCTACTCTGGAAAGCACCATGTACACTGATGGCACCCTATGATATCAGCTTCCAGCCACATTGGGGAATGACAGCAAGTCCTGAGCCTAGTCACTGGGGAAAGATATGTTTTCCAGCTCCCTGGAGAAGGCAGAAATCACATGTTTCATGGCTGTCCCAAAGAGACTGTTGTCACTACTTGGGGCACTGCAAATGGGAATGTATGCATTCACGGCTACAATATAATAGATCTTTTTCCAGTGCCCCTTTAAAAATGTACATTTTCAAGCAATCAGAAACTGTAGCCCATTTTTTCCGTAACCAGCCCATCCCGTATCTCAGGGTATAGATAGGTACTACTTTGTAACCAGGCTGTGAGGCAGCTACTCAAAGATGGGGAAATTAAACACTGCCCGGCACGGATCATGGCCGAGTCTCCAAAGTTCAAGCCCAACCAGCTACCCCATGGGCCTCGCCTAGCTTGTGTTAGCCAAAGGGATGATATAACCATCCGGTGGAAGCACCACCATTTGGTCCTTTTCTATATTGATGCAACTCTGTGTATGACATTCTGCAGCCTTCAGAGTCAGCTCTCGCCACCTTGGGGAATAACAGACCGAACAGCAAGACGCACATACAGAAAGCGACACACCACATGGGGCCAATCGGCTCACCCGCAAGCCAGTCACACACTTAGCAGCACAGCGGTCACTGGGTTAGTAGGTTGGGGTGGGTGGAACCGTCACATGCAGACTAATTTCCAAGACAGCGTTAGACTCTGAATGCAACATAGATGGTCTACAAGTACAGGGAAAAAGAAAGAAAGTGAACAACCATGTCCAGTTAAAGCTGATCAATACACTAAATGCTTGTGTGTGGCCTCACTCAGAAAACTGAAAGGGATGGTCTTCAGTTCACAGAACCATGCACGGTTTGACATGTGATCCAGACACAAGTCTATCCTGAGGTAAAAACCAGTTTAATCTAGCCAAGTGTCCTGCTACTCTTGGTAGCCACCATTCGATTTTGGAAGGAAATGACAGAAAAGACCCATCCCAAAGGGAGCTTTCCAAATACTGGTATCTGAACAACCTTGTACTAAAAGGGAAAAAAGTAACTGAAGAAACTACAAAGAGAACCAGAAAAAAGGTTCATACAAATTTATGCAGGATGTGGCACAACAGAGCCCCAGCATCCCCTCATTTGCACTGTGCCACCTGCGCTGGGGGCTAGTCCATTATCTGCTCCTTAAGCATGGTGGAAATACGTACCTTCACGTCAGCATAATCCCCATGCAGCATGTAGTTGTCAGGTATGCCACCAAATCAGCACACCTGGCACCAGCATGCAAGAAGACTGCACTTCCTTTGCACAGCTGTGTCCTAATGACAAAAGATACCTGATCAGGTCTCTCAGCTGTTTCCAGAAAGCAGCCAGGGAAGACTCCAATTCTGAGAGGAGCATCAGAGCTGGGGGAGGCCCACCCCACACTGCCACTACGCCAATCAAAAATGCAGCCACAGGAGACTGCTATCAAATCAAGACAAAATGCTGGGAGATTCCAGTGTGCAGCACTTGTAATTTAGCCCTAAAGTGACCCCTCCCAGCAGGAGATGCATGGCCGATGCATTACCTAATACCCTTGTTTTTCTAAGCAAGCTTAAAAGAAAACAAAAACCACTAACTGTACAAGTTCAGATCTACACAACTGAACAGCACAACTGCAAAGATATGGTGCCACTCCACATGTACAAAAGAGCTATCTGAAAATATTGTGCATCAGGGTGAAAAAGAAGGCCAGCAATAGCATTTCCCAGCAGTAGCATCTGTGAAGAGAGTTAGGTGAGCTTTTTAAAAAAAATCTATATGCTGTTTGCCATGAAGCACTGGATAGCTGCGTGGTCAGTTAGGAGAATTCTACCTGTAGGGTCAAAGTCGTGGGCACTAAAGCAGCGCTCAACTTTCTGCTTCTTGTCTGCTGGAGACTCTCTGTTCAGAATGCTGCCATGCCTAAGTCAAACAAAAAGAAGCACATACTGAATGATCACACGATATCAACAAGGAGCACAGAACTGTAAACACCAAGTGACACTGCAGATCTACAAAATATGAGTGAGTCCTCACTGATATATCTGTGCTTGTTTTCATTGTTATCCAGTGTACCTAAGAGCTGTTCATATCTGCAGTGAATATTATTACAGGTTTCCAAACAATACAACTATGGCCTTACACAAAGTTGGACTTAAACTATTTTACTAACTTTGCAACATTTTAGCAGGCTTTGAAACTGAAAACCCCATTATATCAATGCTTTGGAAGAGATTGTGGAATCCACCAACTGCAGAGACCAACTTCTCCCTACATTTGCCTTCAAGTTTTTGTATTCTGAAACTCTTTGGAGCCATTTTGGTTAAGCAGGTGAGAGTTGACCAGTTGCCTTAGTCTTCCCATCTACCAAAAGGAAGGCTGGGAAAGCACTGATGAAGTGAATTGAACTACTTTTTCTATCTGGCACCACTACAGAACAATGTAACTATGAATCATCATGGGTAAACACTTACAGATGATAAATGAGTGTTTTTTCAAGGGTGAGGTTCATACCCTGTAACTCCCCAGTGTTGCTCTTGAATTTTCTGTGGTCGCAACTCTAGCTTTATACTATCATGTACTGGGCTCTCTAAATTTCTATGTGAGGCAGCAATCTGTCCAGACAAATGTCAGGCACACGTTTCAGCTGCTTCATCTAAAAGACAAGCCATCTTGGTCCCTGAAACCCTGGGTAGAGGCCAGAACTGCTAGCTGTAACCTTGACCTCATTTATCAGCGGTGAATGTTGGGATAAATGGGGAATCCCAGTGTTATTTTTATTATAATCGCATCCAAGTATTCAAGCCCTCAAGAACTCACCTTGTAGGTTTTTTAAGGGGAAACCTGAAAAAGCAAAAATAAGAAGATTAGTTTAGTATAAATAGTTGATTGATAAGTAAAAGCAACATGTCATTTAAATCCACAATGTTACTGTTAATTGATTATTACCTTTCTCTTTTTTATTATGGGTGCTGAAAAAGTGTTTCAGTATCATAGACTGAAACTCAAGAAATTGCTCTTGCTTTGCTTTGTGTTCCTGAGGTTACACAGGTTCAATTTGTTGCATATCTTCCCTAAATATATATTCTACAGTTTCTTAATGTATCTGCGAAAGAGTAATCACTTCTCCAGATTCTGTGTTCATTGTAGCACAATCACAGACACCCCTAAACATACGGAGACCTGAATCACAAAGATGCCAGCTTAACTGAATCACTCCTTTGGCACTGTTTCCAGCAACAAAAAAATACAGTGCATACTTAATTTATCACAGACTTTCAGCACATTTGTGTTTAATAAGAGTTATATTGTGACTTTAGCCATTTGAAGCAGCAATTAGAATGGTGTTTAAGCATTTGCTCCACACAGACTGATGGGCAAATCTTTTCATTTCTATACATCCACCAAAAGTTGTTTACACTATTATGGCACGCTCAAGTGATTTGACCTTAAAACTGATTAAGATGTCATTAATCAGCACCAACATTTGTAATAAGTCACTGATCCTAGATAGAGCACCAACCAGCAATGAGAGCAATTCTGTTCTGAGGACAACAGAGGTAAACACTCAAAAATTCTGGGATCAAGAAGTCCAAGTTCACCCCCCCCCCCTTAGCCCCCATCTTTCTTACATGTGAATGCCAGTTTCCAAACAATACCACATGCGTCAAGGAGAGAACTGTTCCATAGGAATTCTGGGATGGATTCCCGGAAGCCTGGGCTGCAAGCCAGCTTTCCTAGTCTTTCATTCTCTCCCTCTCTCCACCCCCCACCCTCCAAAGAGAAGGGGGAGAGAAGAGTAGTGGAAGCAGGCAAGCAATAGGTCATGATCACAGGAAAACTGCATATTTCTACATACTGTTACAGCATTAATTTAGCCTGCTCACTGAAAAGAAGATTCTACGAGTGTCCATTTCCTTTCTGTACCTTTTCTTTCTGCTTGTCTGTTGAATTTGGTCATCAGCTGCAGGGAACATTGGGTAACAACAGTCTTGCTCTGTGATTTCCACACTTGGTGGCAATGTTGATGTTCAATCCCACACCCTCCAATAACTCAAGAACAATTCTGTTGCCTTAGTCAACAAATGAATTGGTTTGGTGTTTGGTTATCCACAGGGATGTTCACATAGGAGAAGTTCTACAACTTGGAATTTGGTTTGGTTTGAATTTTGCCTCTGTTTCTATTATCTGTGCTACTTATTTCAGGAATATCGTTATGGCCAACAATGGCTATTCTTGATTTTCATCCCCATATTGATGGAGAAAATGCGTGAATTGTTTGGGTGTGTGTCTGTTGCCATAGTGTTTAGTTGCTTGTTTTCAAAACTAAGCAGCTCAACTCTCCAAGCCCGAACGGACAGTACACAAGCAGAGATTCTTAATGTACTTGTGGTAACTTAATATTTAGACACACCTAATTATTGCATATAATAATTCAGTAAAACTTACCTAAAGTTCTGGTTTCCTTAAATTATACAGTTTGAATCTTATTGCTCTGAAGTTACAGCCTAGTTCTATTTGTAGAACTGCTAGAAATCTAAAACAAAAAATGCTATGCATGATTTTCTCATGAGTCACCTATCAGCTGTGTTTGCTGTCCTGTTCTTTTACTAAAATAACACTTTGCTCTGTGTACAACAAACTGGTGATGAGCTCCAATAACAAATGCATCAGTTGGCCACTCTCTGTAGGATGCAATTCTACATTACCATAGAAATACCAATTCATTACCATAGAAAATCAATTCCAATTGTTAGAATAGTAACTGACTCTCTTTAGAAGGAAACCTTGTTTTTACCTAAACACAGGACCATGTTGCATTGCAATGAGAGCAAGACCCAAGAAATTCTGCTTCTTGTACAAACACAGCCATTGTTTGCCATCGCTATATCACTGAACTAAAGCAGCACAGGCAACCAAGAGAGATTTAAAAAATCACGCAAAGCTAGATTCCAAACTGTAGATGTTCTACTCATTAGCAACCTAACTAATTTGGGCTGCATGATCTACTCTTATGTCAGTCAATCAATTACCTACTTGCCTCTTCAAGAAGAACTAACCCCACAGACATTATGGTGCAACTCTGGATGCTGATTTCAAAGTCGCCACCTAACAGTTTATCAGCTTTTCCTGCAACCCACCCTAAACCCTCCATCTCTCTCAAGAGAGCCCAAAGCTTCTTGGTAGTTCAAGACTGCAAAGATGCTTTTTATTTTCATTTATATTTATCGTAGTATATTACTACTAACAAAGTACAGTGCTGCCCTTGTTCAAAACCAACTTTCAACCATATAGATTAATATCTGTCTTGGCAGCCGGGTTAGAGAAAGGCTGAAGACAGAGGGGGTGGAAGTGCAAAACGCCTTGCTACTGAAGTTTCAGCCACAGTCCAGCCATTCAACCCCAGCCCAAACAAGTTCCTCAGCACTGCTCCATGACACAAGTCCTCAGATTTTTCCAAGAGCTGATGTCAGGGCTTTTCACAGAGAAAGAACTGCATTTACAGGGCCAGTGAGGAAGGAGGGCTTCCCCAGAAGCCACTCTCAATGTGGCCATTGTGCTGCTCCGTGGCTGGAGCCAGGGCCCTGTGAGTTGCTTTAGTTGCTGCAGCAATTCTGACAGCTTAGGAAGAAGTACACTTTCTAGCCAAGCAGTCCCAGCACGAAAGAGTATTATGTCTTAGATGCCTCTCTCAAAAATGAAAAAGGGAGGCAAACAAGATGCAACAGTTAACACGAAATACTGCACTTGCCAAAATGTTCTATGGGGTCATTTATTCTACTACCAAGGTTTATTCTACAACTACAAATGAATCTGCAGAAAAGAAGTAGTTCACATTCCAATATTCAGGCTAAATACCTGTATTATGTATGCACTGCTCCCTCAGAATCATCATGGTACCAGGATTTCGTATCTTGTGCATGTTTTCACAGCACAAAATACCGTTATCACCTGCTATGTGTCAAGCAGGCGTATGACACATCATAAATATATCAAACAACACTGCTGGTTTTAAGGTTAAACCTGAAAACTCAAACTTGGAGGAATCAGTAAGGGTCTTCTGATAAAAGGCTGCCATCAGACCAACAATGTAAATGCACATTCTACTGACAAGCTGAGTAGAATTTCTAAAGCCCAGATTAAATAATAGCTTACAACAGAACAACTCATCACACAAGTTTGACTAAGGGTTCACAACAAGGAGAAAATGGAAGAGGATGTGACTTTCACTATTATTTTCAAGAAAATCTTTGAACAAAGCATACAGACAATCATTAATACTGTATTCATTTGAAATCTATTGAGTTCAGATATGTCTGTTCAGTAGGAAGACAGGAATGGATTATGCCAAGATAAGAAATTCTAAGATACAACCTTTGATTTTAAATGGCAGAGGAGGGTTCCTTAAGGGGATCCGGGGAAGGGCCCATTCCTCACTAGCAGCACATCTGCCTGTCGAGGTCCCATGTTGAATCCCCATCTCCAGGTGGGGCTGGGAAAAATCCTGAAGAGCCATCAGTACTCAATACACTCAGTGTTGAGCTTGATGGATGAACGACCTGTCTGGCTGTGAAACTGCTCCCGACCACCATCATGTCTACTATAAACTGATGTGAAGCAGCCAATGAAGAACACAGGTTGCTGCTGAAAGATGGCAGCGAAGGGCCCCATGCAGCATGTGGTAATGTTGAGAAATGCCACAGATATTTCTTTTTACATATACAGGAAAGGCAGAACTGCAATAAAAGACCCTTTCTTGAAATCTGAATATAAAGATGCTCATGTGACCCTGTGAAGCTGCTCTGTAGTGGAAGTGACCTGCACAGGAAAAACCAGTAAGTATGTCTAATTCCCAAATTTCCTTAGATACAGCACTGTTATTTATGCCACCGCTTTAAAGTATCTTCACCGGCAGTGAGGAACATGGAAGGACAGGCGACAGAAGATGTTCGCAGCAAGTCAGATTCAGTCCTTAACTCCTCAATCAATAAGGGTGTGGGGTTGGGGGAGTAGCTGTCTATGACAGGGCTGGAAAACTGTTTCCAATTTCTGGAAACTGGAAAGAATGTTTTGAATGTCAGAACTAAACTGAGCCTACATTCCTTCCACAGAAAAATGCATTCCCAGTTTCTCTCTCTCACACAGCACATGTATTCTGCCATCTGCCTCCTCGTGTTCTACCATTCACCTTGCATGTTTTGCCCTCCTCTTATTTATGTTGCTTCACGCCTGTCTGGAAGGTTTGGGCAGCACCTCTCTCCACACAGCAGCACCCACGCGGAGCTGCGCTTGGTGCGCCTCTGTGAGATCCAGCACAGCGACTTGCTGTGCGAAACTGGGGAAACATACCAAAGCAGCAAGAGGGCGCTGCCTCTTGGCAAGGTGTGTGGCACAGGTGCCCCTGAGCAAGCACTGCTAATTGTGAGAACAGAACGCCTGCACACTCGCAACGCTCATGGTTTCTACCAATAATGACCACAACCACAACCATTTCAAAGACGCTAGCAGGACTGGACAAATTCGAGATGATGTGCAACTGAAAATGTGAAAGCACACACCATGCAATTCTCTAGAGCAGAAACTGAGAAACTCCGGCCTGTAGACCTAACCCTCTGAGGTTCCCCAGTCCAGCTCACGGCACCCCTGTAAGCCATGTTGCTGCAGTGGCGTTTCCTCAGCACAAACGTCACTCTCCCACGTGGTGCAACAGGCTGAGTTCTAAAAACTCCCCACCCAACATGCTAAGATGCAGATGAAGATCAGGACTCTCTCCATTCCTTCACTGACGGAAATGGAGCCTGATTTTTACCCCTACTGTAACACTCCCTCCAGGAACCAATGTA